GCTGCTTTTGGAGAACTGCCCTGGCAACTACCTTCCCAAAAACTTGATTGCTAGTGGGTTGCATCTTTAGACTGTGAGGGGGTTGAACAAAAGGTCCTTTACACGGGATGGCCATTGGTTGGAAAACCCAGAAGGATTTGGTATTTCAACCACATGGGACAAGTTGCCCTGGCTCATCTGGGGGCCGAAGGGCATATTGATCACCACCATTTCTTGAATGATGGTCAAGGATGATGAAATGCGTGTTTCTCAGAATGGTGAACCCCCCTTTCGGTTGGGGTCTGAAGCAAACCAACTCAAAACCAACCATTTTATCTAAGGACCCCGTTTTTGAGAAGCCCCTATATGGTGGTTGACCTGTGCCATGGTGGGGTTGGATGTTGATTTAATTAAATTCTAGGGCGACAGGATGAGTTTGTCTTGCTCCCCGAGCTAGTGGACGTCACTCTTTCAGGAAGAACCTTAGTTGCCCAGTTGTGCCCTTTTTTTCCTTTTTTTGGGTAGGGGTTCCCCTTAAACTCAACCAACAAACGAAGGGTGCCGTTTTTCCCATGGCATCTCAGGAACACCAATCAGCGGCAAAGGAAAAGCTCAGACTTTGATTTGCCAGCCTTTGTTGCCAAGAGATGTCCTTCATTTGGGAGTACGGCCGTTTTTGTTGCTTCTCGTGTTTGCCAAAGTACCGACCAAAAAACAAGAGCGCCTGTGCTTTGTATATGAACAGCACGTATCCCATGTCAGACGCCAAAGAGACCCAAAGGCATCCAAAAGTCAGTGGGCTCGCGGACTCCCACGCGTCATGAATAAGACATCGTATTGAAAAGGCTTTAAGCCTCCATCGGTATTAAACCCCCGGAAGCCGCCCCAAACTCCCTCAGGCCTCATGGATGGAACTCCATCAGCCCTAGCAGTTTTTGGGCTTGCGGGGCCCTTGGGAGCCGGCCCCAAAACGCCGCGGAATCATTCCGCGTCTCGCGGCGCTTGGTTTGCAAAACTTGGACGGAAGCGCAGGTTTTATATGGGGCGTCTTTGTTTTTTTTTGGAGTTGGCTGCCCGTCCATGTAAACGGGTTGTTTTGGGTGGTTTGGGCAGCCAAGAAGGGGACAGGGGACACCAAGAGGTGCGTCTGGTTTTGGGTGGTTTGAAGGGGACACCAAGAGGAAAACGCCGAAGCTATGTTGGAACTCGGTGTTTCTTAGCCATCTCCTTAGCTTAGCTCGGGATGAGTTGCGGTGTTCACCGACGAACGTTCGTCACTTTTAGCCCGGAATCAGAAAGCGGACAGCCTAACCTGAAGAAAGACGAGCGCACATCATGTCAACTTTGTGCCCAAACCCTTCCATTTGCGTTTCAGAATATGTTTTTTTGGGTTCCCCTGTTGGGTTCTAGAAGAAGTTGATTTCACTACCCAGAGGCTCCCGATGTATTTGGTGCCCTCAAACAGCCAGGTTTTGAGACTGGGACTGAAGCGGGGTGTCAATTTTGGAGGGGTCGGGTCAGAACCATTGAGAGCCGAAGCTGATCGGAGCCTCTGGGTACCGGACAACTACGTGTTTGCATCTTTTCCCAGAACAATACGTTTTTTGAAAGAGAAACAACAACAAACCAGGGGGCGACTTCCGCAACTGGACGCCAGGGATTCGGAGTCGAAACTCGCCTCGCGACCGGGAGGACTTCCGCACGGGGAAGAGCCAGGTGCTGGTGTGCACCAGCGCGCTGGAGGAGGGCGTGGACGTGTCGGACTGCGCCTTTGTGGTGCGGTTCAACCAGTTCACCACCACCAAAAGCGCCCTCGGCTCTAATGGATTTGGTTAGCCTTTTTTGGGGGGATGGCGGGAAAAAGTGGAACCTCAAGTTTGGGAGGCCCTGAATTTGGATAGCTCTTTTGGGGAGATGGCAGGAAAAAAAGGGGGGAGGACCGAAAAGAAACGACCTACAGCTCTTTTACGGGATGGCGTTAAAAGGGGGTTCAGTTCAGGAAACCTTTCCTGTGTGGGTTTTTGTTGCAGGGATCAAAGTCCTTTCCATCTACCGATCGGGCAACCTATTTTGGCTACAAAAGAAACGGCCCACAGCTAGTTGGGTATGAACTTGTTGTAGTTGGGTATGAACTTGTTGCCCTTTTGGGGCTCAGTTTGGGAGGTCCCCGAAAAGGTATCGGGTGTGTTTGCATGCACTTGTTGGGACCCTGTTGACACCATCCAGCAGATTTATGTCCAACCACTTTGCAGGCGTTCCAAGAGAAGGGACCCGGTGCTCTAACGAGAAAATATCACGTAAAACCTATTGAGGGAAGGAAGCTTGGTTCCCAAAATCGGCGGTTCTGTTGTTGATGTAGCGAGAGTTATCAATAGTTGTTTTCCAGGCTTCTTCCCAGGCTTCTCCCAGTTTGGCGTTGTTTTCGTTGTTTCAGGGGGGTTCTTGTGTGTTTGCCTCTTTGTAAGGCGAGACTTGCTTCGCATGTTGTGCAACTTCAAATTTGGAAGGCTTGTTTGATTGAGATTGATTTAGGTGTCCCCCCCACCACCGCCGCCGCCGCCGCCGCCGCCGCCGTCACCGCCAGCGCCACCGCCCCCGCCGCCGCCGCCCCGCCCCCGCCCCCGCCACCGCCACCGCCACAACCACCACGACCACCACCACGACCACCACCACACCACCACCGCCGCCACCGCCACCACCACCACCACCACCACCCCCACCCCCCCCGGCACTTTTGCTGTTGTTAGACTTACGGGAGAGTCATTGTGTTATTGTTGTGTTTTGTTGTTTCGTGTGTGTGTTTTCCTTTTTCATCACCAAGAGCGCCTCCTATCTTTGAAGGGAGACTTTCAGGGAGACACCAAGGTTTTGTTTCGTATCTTTAGCCTTCTGTCCAACAGGAATGGACGTGGACACGAGGGCTTGCAAGACTAGGCCAGTGCTCCTCAAAAAACCCTAAGGTCCACTTCACTCTACTGCGCACCAAATGCGCCTTCAATGATCTCCCCTGTGTAGTGTGGCTGTGGTTCATGTCTCGGGGTTGACCCTGGGTTGGTTCAAAGGCAAGCCAAAGGGAATGTGAAAGGAGTTCCCCCTCCTCATCTAGGGTGACCTGCCTGAACATGATTTCACCTACATGTTCCCGGTGTTTATGGTGGGAGCATTTGCAAGGTGTGATTGAGCGCCGAACAACTAGGGCCGGTCAAACCCTCAATTCCCAACTACAAGTACCACTGGCAGAGGTCCTTTCTCGGCTCGGGTCCTTTCATTCACTGCAGGGGTCCCTAAATTTGCCACCCTTTGGGATACGCTTCTGGTCTAAGAACCTGTCGCCACGTACGAGGGGGAGTTTCCAGAGATTTGGGTGTGTCATTTTGTGAGGGTACCCTTTTCGGGGCTGGTTTCCAGGCGAATTAAAGGGAACTAATCATTTTGAATCACCCCGTCTGTCCAAGAAGGATAGGAATGACTAATCCGGTTTGCCATTTGAGATTTGAGGGTTGCGTAAACCACCTCTGTTGAACCTCAAAATGCCACAGCTGCTGTCTTGCTGGTGCTCAGTAGTGAATGCCCTTCCGGATGTTTGGAATGAACCGGTAGGGCGATTCCCTCAAAGGAAACCACCTCGGGGATGGTTTTTTTTTTCTTTCTCAGGGTGTAATTCCAGTCACCCTGTCGCACCGGCAAGAACAAGGTGCCCCCCCAGCCCCCCCCCAGCGCGGTCCTGTCACCACAAGCCCGCGGCCTGCGTAGCGCAGAGGCGGGCAAAGGGAAACTCAGGCCGTCGGCTCGCTCGCCAGCGTTCCCCTTTCCGAAGGCCACATCCAGGGCAGCGGACGCGCCAGGAAGGCAGGCGCAGAGGTCTACTACTTCGACAACAACCCTGGGGTGGAGGACCGGGGGCTTCACCTACGGTACGGTGGATGCCAACCACACCCAGCACAAAACCATGGGAAGTTACGGCAAATTAGGGAGTTCCCTTGTTCCACTGCTTGCAATATTTAGAGCGGGCGCAGGGGGCATTCCCTCATTCTCTGAGAACCAGCAAGCAAATTGAAGTAACATCGGCGCTTGTTGGGCTCAGTGTTTCCACAACATGAAACAAGGGATCACCCCGAAAACGACCTACGTCATGGTGAGAAGCTAACAGCGTTCCATATTGTGTGGGTGTAAACTGTCCTTTCAGGTTGCGATCCACACCCAGCAAACAAATTGGCTTTTTTCATTGTCCTAGTGGCCTTGGGAAAGATGGGCATGCGACAAAACGGCCGGACATGTTGAAAACACCCTCCTGTTCTGTTGGCATTCATCCGACTGTTCCTTGCAGAACAAACAAAGCAGATCAAACAGGTACCTCTTCGCCCCAAATTAGTACACATGTCAGTAGTCGAATTCCTGTAAATTCCACTGAATCGGGCTTAGCTTCACTTGGCTGAAGTACAAGAGGGCAACAAACTAGTTTGCTAACCACTTACCAACTTTGCTAAAGACCCAACAGCTTACTCATCCAAAGCAAGCCTTAGTTTATGCCACCAAACTAGCGGGGGGCAGCAATGGGCAGCATGTCGGCAAACTACGTCGTCCTTTGCAGGACCCGCTGGAAAGTCGGTCCCTGAATTCCCCCCGTTGAAAGGAACCAGGTGCAACCTGACAGTTGCCAAGAAAACAATGGGTCTGTCTACGGGTACACCTTTGTGGGTTGAAAGGTACACGAAACCTCCATTTTTTGTGTTACCCTATTTTCACACACACAAATGGGGATTCTTTGGGTTAGGGTTGATATCAATCGATGGGTCTTTTTGACATTGTGAGTCGAAGTTTGGTCTATCGGATCCCTTGAATCGCTTCTGCACTAATTCTGCATAGCGAGCTCGCATGAGCGTAAAACTTGCTTACCATGATTGTGCTTAGGGATTCCTTAAATCAACTTCCATCTTCTTCCAACGCCAGTCAATTGGTTTATTTGGCGGGAGGGCTGGTTGTTGATGGCTTCGTCCTCAGCCTTTCACTGAAGCGCCCTTTCCAGGAGGAAAAGGCGAAGTTGCTGACTCGAGTGGCAAAGGACCGGCATTGAACTGTCGACTTGGGAAAGGAGTCGCGGCAGGACGCCCATGTACCACCTATTTTGATGTTCACCAGGGGGTACAGGGTTTTGCAGCCATATTTCTCTTTTTTGGTACTTTTCTCTTTTTTGGTGCCCAGACGCTCCCGATTTATGGAGCACCCTCAAGCAGAGAGGTCTGCGGTCCTTCATTTGACACCCCGCGAGCGTTTGGGTAGCTTCAAACATTACCTTTTTGGCCCATCTAAGGCAAGTCTTCATGATAGGGCAGATCCTTTATAGGGACATATAGGGAGCCGTTTCATAGAAACGGATGGGCTGCCGAGAGATGTTCGAGAGTGGTAGTCCACTGATTGCACGAGTATCGGTCCAGAGCGATCTCCGACGGTTGTGCGCAAAAGTCATTTGCGTCAAAACCGAATAGGAGGAAGTTGACCAAGGGCTCCTGTCCCAAATGGCTATGACTCTTATTGAGGAATGCCCTCCCAACTGGCCAACTGGTTGCTGGACATAAGTCCCTACCTAAATGACGTACCAGAGGGTCCCCCATTAAGATTCACCCCCCCCCCCCGCCCCCCCGGGAAACAGTGCCACCACTCTCCGGGATCCTCGCTAGTGGAGAAACAGGGATGGGGAGGTCTGGGTGGGACCTGTCAGTACTTGATTCAGTATTGCCAATACTTAACGTTTAGTATTGTCAAGCATCACTCACTTGTCCAGAGTTGACCTTTTGACCTTTTGGTTTTCCGGTTTCGTCCATTTTTAGTCATGGCTCCAAAAGGTGATCACCATTTATTTCTGGCTAAGGGGCAACTGAGATCAAGACTTGCTCTCAGAGTCGTACTTTGTTTAGTAAAGTGACCTCAGCCAGGAAGATTGTTGTTCAAGAAGGGGCAAGCAAACTGCCCACTGTTGAACACCCTGAAACCGGCAGAGAAGCTTGAATTGGGAACATATGTTTCTACAATTGACATCCCATTCAACAAGTCTGGTCCAGCAGTAATGGACACCCAGGAGTAACAAAGTCACTTTTTTGTTTCTCCTTATTATTCATTTGTTTTTGTATTGTTGTTATGATTATGTTCCAAGCCAGTTTGTGGTTTGATGCACACGTGTTTTCTTCTAGAAGAATTATGTGCTTTCGATTTTACATTTGTTTGCCTTAAAACTTGAGCTATTCCCATGTGTGCCTTGGTCTAAAGACAGCGCCAATAGAAGACTTTGGGTTAGCAGGCCATGGCCCTGAGATAATTATTTCGGAGGTCTTTGGCCATGGCTCAGGCTGTCAGGTGCATGTGGTTTCCCTACTTATTGAAAGCCTCTGGGTGAGTTACTCTTCTTGGGGCACTACCTACCTTTTTGGGTTTCATATTGTGGGTGGCCTAAATCCATTCTCACCTAAGAACCCATGGTCGAAACCATGTTGTTTGGTGTTAACAGGGGAATCGAATCAGAAGCCAGTGTAACCAGAGGTGCCTCAGCGGATTTCGGATCCATCCACTGCAATAAATCTAGTGCTACCTTCCCCATTCTAAACCCAGGGATCCGAATCTTTCTAGAAAACCTCCGGAAGCCCAGGGAAAACAAACGGATCCGGTTTTCCGAACACGGATCCGGTTTTCCGAACACGGATCCGGTTTTCCGAAAACGGTTCCGGTTTTCCGAAAACGGATCCGGTTTTCTGAAAAGAACGCTATTAGAAAGAATGCACAAGGACTCAGCCCTTACAAACGGCTTACCGCTCGACGCCTCGACGCCTCAGAGGACCAGAGCTTGCAGCTTTCCGCGGCAGAGCTCGAGGAGAGGCGCTTGAAGAGCAGCTCGGGCTGCGTTGGAAGAATCCATTTGCTGGAACTCGGTCCCCCAGTAGTGCATGTGAAGCTTCCACTCCTTTGAGAGACTTCCATTTACAGCCGGGCACTGGGAGCTTCCATGGCACTGGAGGAGGGTTCCCCTACCAAAACAGACTACAGACAAAAGGGCACCCTTATTCTAACTTCTCTACTGGAGGACCTAGGAAATGAATATGTTTTCCCCTGTTGGTTTTTTGAGGGAATCGATTTCACTACCGGAAATATTTTTATTTTTTCCAGGGGGCGAAATCGCAAGTTGCTAAGGGAAGGAAGTCGAATCGGCCGGGAAAGGTTCCTTTCGTCTCAGTTGGCCCGAAGCCAATCGACCGAATCTGACCTTTTTTGGTTTTTCCCTTGTTGGTCCTTTTTGTTCATGGCCACACAAAGTGAATTGGCCTTTTATTGCTGGTTCCGCTTTGCAACATGGGCACCCAAGTTGTGCTTTCTATTACGCAGGTTGCTGATTTTGTTTGTATCATACTTGTTTGGCAGTTGGTGGTTTATGACTAGTTTAGCTTATTTAGGAAGTTTGTTCTGCCTTTTCATGGCTTCCGGCGGTTCCACCGATGGGGTAGAACGAGCAAAACCCCACCCACGTAGCTGCTTTACTTGGGCATCGTATTTCAAGCTTTGACGTTATGGTAACATTTGCAGATTGCTTTGTTCTTTTTCAGGAGAGCCCTTTGAAGCAATCTAAATTGTGGGACTTGTTGATGTTGCACTAACATGCCCTATTTGGGTCCAGAAAGGCCAAGGTGTTCGGTGGTGATCAAAATCACTTTCGGAGGAAGACATATTATGAAAGTTGGATGCCGGGTCTTCAGGGTCTCACCTTGAATTTGGTGTTGCTTAAATAACTCTTTAGTTCAACTTGAAGAGAAACATTATGATGATGTTGGGTTACAGCTTTTTGACAAGTTTGTTTCTTTCCGCCGGAAGCAGACCTTGTTGGTTTCCTTTGCTTTTCATTGATGTGTGTTTCTCTCGATTTTGCGATCCCACAAATGGTTGCTCTCCGTTGGTATCCCTTTAACCGGCCTAAGAAAGGTACCCAGCAAAAACTCGCCTGGGTGGCATGTTCAACAGCCTGTGTCCTGTTTTTGGGCAAGATGTTCCCCATGTCTCAAATAACCCAAAGTCTCCTGGTCCTTGAGGGTAAAATGGGAAACCGCCCAACCTCACCTCCAAACCAGCGATTCGGCTCCAAACCACGAATTAAAGCTGCTGGTTCTCAGCAGGGAATGAGACTTGGAATGACCCCATAAACCATCCAACTGGTGGTTTCCTTTAAGGAATCCCTGGGTTTCCATTCCTCATTCCTTATCGCAGCCATGCAACTGGTGTTTTCCTTTAGGGGGACCGAAGCCTGGGCCACCGATTTCGCACCGATCGCAAGCCGAATGTCCACAGGTGTCCGATTTGGTTGAAAAATCGGTTGGGCGATTCCTGGTTTACCTGGTGGCTCAATCAACTACCGGGGAAACCCATCCATTTTCAGCCACAAAGGACACCTATGCAAGTGTCGGGTCTGAGGCACCAAGGCCAAGCCAGGGGTCTACCCCTTCTATCCACTGGGCGGCTCCGAGGCGGGCGCTCGTTTCGGGCGGCGGTTCCAGGGATCTAAGCCACGGGAGCGGCACGGTGGCAGGTGACACACCCACTGGGGTGCTTCCCTTCTTTGCATTTTTTGGTTCGGTCTCTAGGGCTGGTTTTTGCTAGGGCTGGGTTGACTTGGTTGGTATGGCTCTGATTGGAAGGCAGTTGGAAGTTGCTGGGAAGGCAGTTGGAAGCTACTGGGAGCGGGTGTAAGTTGATCGGGTTTAGGCAGGCTTAGATCTTCATTAGGGTGGGTCTTGTGGTGGTTTGGGGTTGATTTCGGGCTGACATCCAGGCTGCCTTTATGAAATGTGGCGTTGCCCCCAACCACCAAAACTCGCCCACAACTCATGCAACAACATTCCTAAAGCAGCCTAAAGGCGTTTTTCCAGCAGGCCTGGATGTCAGAACCACCACAAGACCCACCCTAATGAAGATCTAAGCCATCCTAACCCCCCCTTAGCTTAAACCAAAACCAGCCAACTGCCTCCCAATCAGAGCCAAAAAGGCAGCCCCCGGCCAAGTGAGGCTGTTGCCAGCCCTGCGGAAAGCAAGCAATAGGAAAAAACCTGCCCTGGGGGGAAACCAAAACACCTCTACCTTTGGGATCCCTTTCAATCTTGATATGCCCCCCAAAAAAGACGGAGCATTTGTTTCTCCCATGGCAACATCATGGCTGGTCGATGGTGTGACCTCGTTTCGGAGCGACCCGACGAAAGGTGATCGAGCTTTTTCTCTGGGGAGAAGAGCAACCAGAAAGGTGTGTCTGCACAATAGAATGGGGTGGCGGGCTAGCGTAAGCCAAACCATCCCATCAATCATGGGAGACTACTGCTACGTAGTTATTCAGCCCCATGCTTGGGCAAAATTTTCCGAACCCAAACAATTGAACGCAAAAGTAACTTGGTCGGTGTTCAATTTTACACTGGCCTCACTCTCTGAAAGAGGGGTTTGTTTAACTCAATTCTAGCCAGTTCCTGAACTCGATACACCATCTGAGCGACCAGCAACAAGTTTTGGCTTTGGCCAGCGTTGGCCGATTCACTTTGACTTTATTATGCTACCGCTGTTCTTGGCAAGGTTGTTTGTTGTTTTTCTGTTTGTTTTTCCTCTGCTCATTTTTGATAGGCTGCAAAAAGAACCAGTTTTTGGCAGCCATACCAAGGGCTGTGAAGTCTTTTCAAGAATCATGGTCAGGGAAGGGGATAGGACCCCCATCGAAGATGATGACCAACTTCCATTCTCTTTCGCTCGGCGTCCATGCTTGTTGCGGGGCTCATGTGAAGGTTGTTCAAATTTGAGATGCCGTTTCGGAATCCCTTTGGACGAGATGTTAAACGATTCAACAAGAAACCTATCAATCATTCTATGGTCAATTTGGGTTTGCAACATGCGGGGACGAGCACCAATTGTTGGCAAACCATGATCGTTCCATTTCCATTGGCTGTTGCGCAGGTGCCCCGAACAAAGCCGTTTGAAAACCCTTCTAAGCAGGTCCCTGCAGAGCCGTTCCCGGGGGGGGGGAAATATGCAAGCTAACCAACGCCCAACCACAAAGCCATGGTAGAGATTGCGGTAAGTCAGTTGGTGCCTTGTTCCTTTATTTGCATAAATGGGTGTGTGTTTCTTTTGGGTGGACCCCTTTGGCGGCTTTTCAGGGGCATTAAAAGGAACCCCGCTATTTGTTGGGGGCTCGAAAGTGAGTTTTAAGGAGATGGACCCTAAAATACCCGCGTTGGTGGGTTTTAAGGGAAAAGGACACCCACCAGTTACCCTGATTTGGAGACAAACTGATGGCATCGCGTAGGTGAACTTCTTCAACGGCCTCCAGATCGTCTACGAGTACTGCGCCAAGACCATGGGTCAGTCCATCAATCCGGAGGACTTCTTTACCTACAAGGAGGAGGTCGTGTGCATTTTTCCCAAGCAGGCGAGGCGGTAAACGAAGGTGTTGAGGGCCGTTTACTGCTTCCGGGGTTCTTGGATTGGACGTTTTTTGGGGAAGGCCATGTTAGAGGCAAACGACAAGTTTGGGGCTTTTTCTGGCCAACCCACTCAGGAAGTGAGCATATGTGCCATGGTAAAAAAAACACTTCTTCTTTATTTTGGGGGGGAAGGGGGGTTGGCAGGTGTGGTCATGGACCCCTTAGAGGGGATTTCGACAACCGTGACCATGGCCCACATGAGATTTGACTATGGCACGTATTATGGGTGTGTCTTAAATTAGTCAACCCAAACAACGGATTGGCTTCTTTTGGTTTCCCTGAAGCACTGTCCCAAAAAGGGTGTCAGCCACCCATATGGTTGCATGTACTCCAGCCGACAGGTCGTTAAGCTACATGGGATGTGTCCCGCACCCACCGAGTTCGGATCAAGCAAAAAGCACCTTAGGGGAATCCACAGGTGGATTCGGAACGTCAACCCTTCATCCTGAACAGCCCTTGCTTAGGTCAGCTTGGTTGGACGTAGGTAGATTCCGCTTCCTTTATGTTGGTCGAAGCATGATGTAGTGGAATGCATCTATCAAGGGTTAGGGTGCTTCCTTCTGATATGCCGAGCTTGTCCTAGGTTCCATAGGATCAATCCTTATGGAACTGGTCTTTTTGGTCAATATCATGTGTGATGTGTCCTTGTTGAGGGTACCAATTTCAGAGTTGTACGCTTTTTGCAGGTTGTTTCCCATCATCCTCCAAGGTTGCTCCGAACCTCAACACAACAACTACACCACTTCTGGAACATTCGCATAATTTGGAACACGTCCTGCCGTTGGTCAATCACTGGCATGTGTGAGGTTACTCTTTTCTAAATCAACTCAGTTGATGTTCTAAAATTCAAACTATTTGTTGCCAGTTTGAAAGTCTAGAGCCAAGGGCCAAAGAGTTTTGTCATTATTTCTGGCCAGCCCACTGAGGTGTCACGTGCTCAGGATCCAGGTGGAGCGACTACTGGGAAAGCTCATGCTGCGCATCCACCAAACAACCTGCAGTTGGTAGGTGGTCTGTCCCATACTGTGGATGGACGAACTCCTGCACCACCTAAGAAACCCTGGAATGATGATTCCCCTCTAAATTCACCAACCATGGTTTCAACCATGGCTTTCAAGTGGTGCGACATGGATTTCGTCCATCCACAGGGTTTCATCGCGTGAGCGACAGCTGGGTCAAGTTTCGGGGAATTCTAGGGGTACCTTCCATTTCCATTCCAGGGATCCGAATCTTTCTAGAAACCTCCGGAAACCCAGGGACAACGGATCCGGTTCTTGGAAAGAGCGATGCTTGAAAAGAATGGACCAGGAATCAAACCGCTAGAATGAGTGGAGATTTCACCACTAAATGGCCTCCTGGATGCCCGCCTGGATAAAAAAGGGGCCCCCTCAGTCTTGCTGGTGTGATAGGTAGGGAACCTGGGAATCAAACCCGAGAGGAATGAATCCAGCCCCCGGACCACGTCTTGCTTCCAGGTTCGGAAGACCCTCGTGGAGGTGCGCTACCCCTCGCCGCAGGGCCTGCGCACGGTGTCGGAAGCTGACATCGAACACCACTGGCGCGGAACGCGCCGCTGGGATCGAGCGAGCGTCAAAGCGAAGGGAGGCCTTGTAGAACTCAGTTGCCCACAGCGAATCCATCTTTTGACCTGAGGTTTACAACTTGTTTTCCAATTTAATCGATCGAACAAAAAAATAACATTTTGACCTTCTGGTTTTCCATTGTGTATTTCCAGATAGATCTTTTGGGCAAGTGCAGAAATGGAATCCAATGCAAAAGAACCAGATAACATCACATGCAATAAACACGAGCAATGTGGCGAAGATCAAATGACTTTTTAAATTATTGCCGTATTTAAAGACGGTAAAACAGCTTGAGATGAGATGAACATATTGAAACCAAATGCAATATGATGGGCATTTTTCGCTGGGTTGTTTGGAACTGTGGATTTTACATACCTTTGTATATCACTTCTATAAGGTGAGTACGGCAAGCCATGATGTCAGGTACCGTATCTCTTATCCAAGTGGAGTATATGTGTCACACCTCCACAAAACCACCCAGAGAATGGGCCCATGATGTACGATCATTAAAGTTACCGAGCGGGAAGGTCACAGGCAAACTTCCTGGTTCCCGACTTGTTCAGCCTTTGGACCAATCAAGATAGTTGAAGGCCATGCGCTGGATTGAAGGGGAGGTTGTTTGCCAGTTATGGAGATGTCCCTCGTATCAGTGGAATTCAACCTCTCCAAACAGCACGTCTGTAAACTCAGGTTCCCCCCCACCCCCGAAACTTGTAGGTTTCGGTGTCCCTGTAAACCAAGCTGCAAAGGTTGCCAACTCCGAAACAGACACCCATGAATTTGCTCAGATGTGGGTCTGTCTTAAAATTCGGGAATCCCCCCCAACAAATCAGGTTTCCTCTTAAAGTGCCCTTAACCCCCAAAGACGGTACCAAAAGGTGTCCCTTTCAAAAAGTAGCCGACCACACGGGGCACCAACTCAGAAGACGGCGAGCCACGCGTCTCTGGACGAGCGCAGCGCAGCTTCGCTCGGCCGCAGGCCAGGGATTGATGGGCCCCTGAGGCCTGGATGATGTCTTGGACGCGGAGCGATGCAAAAACCTGAACGGCGAGGCTCGATGGATCGGTGGGTTGCGGTCGCTGGGGCGGGGTCCCGTAAAAAGCGACGAGTCCTTTGGGTCTGGGTCGGGTGCTGGCTTTTTTTTTGGAGTTGGTGCAGGTTTTCAGCGTTGGTTTGAAAGGGACTTTTGGTGGGCGGGAAACCCCTTCTACGCACCATGATGGACATCGGAGGATGTCAATTACTCAAGTCTTTGCTCCTTTGATCATGACTTCATTTGATTCAGGGTGCCCAGCAACCCCAATCTAATGATTCAGGACAGGGGTTTGACCTCCTAACACCGTCAAACACGGACCTTTTGTCATGGTTTCTTTGAGCTGGTTGCCTTCAGTTGCTGTGAGTTTTTGTGGTGGTTTCCGTTGATCCCTACATTTCTGTTGGTTTCCTCTGAGTTCCCACTAAACCAGGGTCCACACTACTCAGCCAGAGTCTCGGGGTCTTTGCTTTTTTTAGAGCCCCGCTCGTGCTACTCGTAACAAAAACTTACTTACTTGTGAACTTGACCAACCTTTGTGGATGGAAGCATTCATCATGTAATTCAATACCCCAGGAGTCGAGACCTTGTGGCCGGGGCAATTGAGCCATGCACATGTTTTGTGTTGTTCAGCTAGGAGCAACAAAGCAGAGGCGGAAATCACAGCCAAAACGCCCAATCAATCTTACAAAACCCCAAGCTTCTTTTTCCATGGGGAGCAATCCCTGCGGTTGGATGTGCGTTTGGAGACATCCTTCTGACGTTTCAGGGCACGTTCTTCCGGGTCCCTATGGATGGATGGGAATGGTTGTTGCTTGCACAGTGGTTTAGCTCCCCTGTCTTTCCAACCACGGATCAAGCAGTGCGACCTTGCGCAAGGAATGGCCCCAAACACACCTCCAGCTTTGATCTATATATTTGACCAACCCATATGCCGGCTGTCCCAACAGCTGTTCCTCTTCATAATTGTTCAGGCAAATGATCGTTTTGCCTGCTCGGTTGAAATTCCAACACTGGTGCTACAAGAACCGTTCGGGCTTGCAGAGCAGACTGAACGCTGTGTTGCTGGTGTCACTCGCTAGAAATCGCGTGAGCTTCGCTTGAATGTTGCATAGTCCAGTGCATGTTGTTACGTTATTTTGTATCATTCATGCATTCGCATGTCGCACATGTCGCGTAAAACAACAAATGTGTGTTGCAAAAGAACCGTGGTGTTCTGGTGTTCTGGGGTGTTCTGGAGCAAATTCTCGGAAAAAAAGGATATCGCTTCTCCAAGTGGTGCTCAAAAAGGAAATAAAAGGAGCAATTTAGCGGCCCCAGGTGCGTTGGTCAATTTGTAGGGGGAGTAGTCTTTTCGTCTTCCCCTTTGGGGGAAGTTTGCGGGGTGTGCCTGAGTGGAGCTTGTTCCGAGTCGCAGGACAAGAACAAGCGTCGGGCTCTCTTCGTAGTTGCAATCCAGATGCACCGCCAAGGCTGCGGGGGGGGGGGGGGCGCCTGTTGGACACCTGGTGAGCTGGAGGAGTTCCCCACTGGACGAAGTCCATCCCCGCTGGCGCGAAAGGAAACCATGGTTGCAACCATAAGGTTGGCGGGGTATTTACAGGGGAATCATCAGAAACCAGAGTTTCTGAATGGTGGCGCGAAATGGATGTCGTCCCACAGTAGGGCAATTTCGAAGATGAGTGATTTCCTTTCGGTTGTTGGGTGGAGTCTCCTCTCGGAGACATGGTGTAGTAATTCTTGTCAGGTGTTCAATTATTCGTTTTGGCATGACCCAGATTGGGATACTGGCCACACGAATCGGTCGGTTTTCTTTGGGTTGTCTTTGACGCACCATTCAATTCCCAAATTTCGGGAAACGCAAACTACCCCACTGTCAGCATCTGTGGTTTGACCATTTCTAAATGATACGCCGTCCAAAGCAGGGTGTTTTGTTCTTTTGGTTCACCGACGCACAGCCTTGAACTTTGTGAACACCCCTTGCAAATAGTTTTGTTTGGTTGAGGTGATGTTTGTGAAAGTCAGGCTTCTGCGCCTTCCCAACCCGATCCCTTGAGCCGTGGAGCGTTTTTCCTGAGCAACAGGGCTGCCTTTCTGTATATAGGGTTATCTGTTTGCCACTTTTTCAGGTCCTTTTGCGGCGATTCGGTCACACTCGTTGCTCAACATGTCATTGTGGCATGTGAATCCAAACCCCCGTCTTTCCAAAGCTTGTTATAGCGACCTCAAAGGGTGAGTGCAGCCCCCTGAAGTCGCCTTGCGCTCAGTTCTTGCTTTGGGTTGGTTTGTCTTGGGAGGGTATGACAGTTTCTTGCAGTGAGTCGCCCTTGTAGGGTTGTTTCAAAGGGGAAAGGCTGGACCCCGTTTTGAATGTGTATCTAGAGCGAGACCAAAAGCAAAGCAACAACTTGTCTTTGGTGCATTTTGCTTGGATCTTTGGACTTTATAACGTTTTGCCAACTAGTGGGTTTTCCAATTAAACCACTAAAGGTTAATTTTTTAGCAGGGGAGCAGACAGCAACCAAGTTGTAGCGCGCGCCCAATTCAAGAAACGCCCTGAGATGACCTGCACCTTAGGTCTGCTGGACCAGAACAACCAGCCCTGCGCCCTCGCACTGGCGGAGAACCGGAAGGCATGCCCGGCGATGAGTCTGAAGCCGGGAGTGCGGGTGAAAAGCACCTATGGTGCCACAGCGGCTCGGTCCGCGTGGTTTTGGGTTGCGGCTTGGGGATTTTCCAGGGTTTGCTCCATGTGCCTTCTTACATGGAGCCTCCAACAGTGATAGTTTCAACTCACACCACCAGTAAGTTTCAACTGTGTCCGAGCCTTTTTTCCCTTGCTGGCGCCTTCAAAAGTGGCGATCGCTTCTATGGACAACAGTAAATTGGTCAACGGTTGAAGAGGAAATCCGGTGACCGTGGTTTTCTTACTCAACAAACGTGGAAGTGCGCAAAACCCTTTTGGAACGGTCATTCTCCTAGCAAAAGACCTGTGCGCTTTGCGCCTTTCCCCTTTTTGGTTTCCTTTTTAAGTGCCCTAGAATTCTTTGCGGAGGCTGCAAACTGTCCAACCTGGGCAGTGGAAGGGCGAAGGCAGTGGTTTTGTTCGGTTGCTTCCCCGTTCAAAAGGCGGGGCGTTTGACCAGCGGCAACTTGGTGGGTGGGTGTAGATTTTTACTCAAAATGTTAGTGGGTTTGGATTTCCGGATGTTGTGTTTTGATTTGTCGGTATTTTTACGCTTTCCGTTCGCAAAACAGCAAGCAAGGCCATGAACAGTCAAGCTGATGATTGCTCCGCCTTTAGCTCCAGCTAGCCAGGGCAGGGTTCGCACCTTTGACTCCAAAGCGTCAACAAGTGGCACCCCATTCTTGCAGTGCGTACGCGTTTTGCCTCGAACTATGTTTCGACTGTTTGCTTGGGTCCTTTTAAAGCTAACCAAAAGAGTCTCCAGCTTGTTCATCGCAGGATGGGGTCATGTTGCAGTTTGCGGAGTGCTGTAAGGCATGATTTGGGCAAAGGGCACCCTCTGATTGGGATGCGTGTTTTGCTTTCACACCTAGGCGTGGCCGTTTTGCTGCGGCGTTTCTTAGGGACCAAGTTTGGGAACTTGAGCCAAGTAGGACAAAATCTGGCAACCGCCGAACTGGGTTGTTGAAAGGCTTGGTGCCAGATGTCATGGTTTCCCTTGTCATGCTGTCCGGACGTACGGATTGAGGCGATCCTTTAGGCTGGTTTGGAGTTTGGATTGGCTAGGGGGACCTGATTCCCCCCTGATTTGTCCACCCTAAAGAAGCAGGCGATTGACTTTTGGTTCTACCAACATGCTTGAACAGTGTTGGTCTATATGTTATGTAGGCATAAGCCTGGGTAGATGCAGGTGAGCAGGGACAGTCTGATGAATAGGTTCGGATATCCGCATTTGCATTTTTTCCAATCGGCTTTGGGCCTGTGGACGCAGCATTGGTCCCAGTGTGCTTCTTGTGGCGCTGGTAGCTGCTGGCTCAAAAGACCAGAGCCAAATTGGGCGTGGCTCAAAATTAGCTAACATTAGGAATCGGTTTTAGTTTTTGGTTCCACTAAGGTATAGCTTTTGCTGCCATTTTGGGATTACCACATTTTTGAGTTACCGAATAGAGGACCGCTGAACTCCCCAGTTCTTCGTCCCTCGCAAACCCAACTCCTTTCCAAGGCAGCAGCGCCACCTGCGCCAGCGGAGGCCGATCGAACAGGAAGGATCTGGATGGGGGGCGTTCGTCCTTGGGGCCCCACGTTTTTGGGGAGGGTACCAAAACGCCAAATTCAGCCATGACCATAGGACAATATTGTTGTTAACAATTCTATGCTTAGACGACCCGAAACCCAGGGTCAACGTCCGTCTTACATCTTTGTCCTCGAATAGGTAGTCTGGATATATACCATGATTTTCCCCTACAACATTTTCACTGTAGTAGTTGTACTCCCTGACTTGATCCTGCCCGAACAGATTTTCCTATCTGTAAGACCAAGAGTTCAGGGTGGCGCTGGTTGCGGTGAGGCAGCTTCGACGGCATCAACGACCTCCAGCTCTTCAGCTCCGCCAGCTGCGGCTGCAAGCATTTCTGCGTCTCGCCTAGGGAGACTAAGAGAGAGGTGGGACTGTCTCCTTTTGGAGTTGGTTCCTCGGTTTTTGGCGGTTCTACAGGGAAACCGAAAGGATGGGGAGGTCCCCTAAAACAAGACACGCCCAAACAACTGTTGTCTGACTCCCTGAAGGAGACTGTAGTACTCCCATTGGTCCTCTCAAAAAGTCCCAACAGATTTGTTGACCTTACGTCCACCATGTTTTTTTGACACGAAGGGGGAAGGCCTTCAGATTCCAAGGAATCTGCCAGCCGTGCAGACCCCATTTGGAGTTTTACATGAGTTTGTCCCATGGGTTTGCTGCCAGGTCCGTTGTTTGCCCATTGCACTCTAGAATGGCTGGTGGGACAAACGACCCAAAATGCTTCGACACATTGCCTGGAAATTTCCCGATGCGGGGACGATTCCAAGGTGCAACCTTGGTCGCTTGCCCGAGTTGTTTCAAAGCAACCGGAGGCTTCTGGTGGATATTGATTGTTTCCGGCGTTATTTTGGTGTCTGTTTGGTTTTCTCCGCGCTCCCCTTTGGCTACTAATATGTGGGCCATGGCGAAAGAGTTCCCCAGATCGAGACATCATTTGACATAATGAGGTTGTCTCCAAAAAAAAGGCCTTGACCACCACCCCAAACGGGCAAGAACCCTAAAACAGAGGCACCAACCTGAGAAACAACTCTCACAGTCTTGTTGAACCCCCGCCTTAAACATCGAATTGGGGGGGCCCGAAAAAATATATAAAATAACAAACACAAATAGGAAAACAACAACGGGGATCTGGGATCTTTTTTTTGTTCATTCCATTTCCTTTGAGATTGGACTGAGGTCTCCAACGCCAAGGGGGTTCTCAACGAATGGGCGGTGAAGCAATTCCGCCAGCCCGCGGAGCAGTTGATCTCCTACGATACCTCCCCGCAGGAGCGGCGTTTCTCGGGGTGTGTGCGTGGCCCAGTTCGCTGGCGCCCTCTGAATCATTTTTTGCGGTTTGGTGGGAGTCTCGCTAATTTAAAAAAGGGGTCAAACCGAAAAGGGTTCTGGGTCTCGCATTTCGACTAGCGTCGCTCAACAACTGGTGGTCTTCCTTGTGGTTTCCCTTGCAAACACAACAAATTAAAGCAACCCTTAAAAAGGTGTTGCGAGAGTTCAGGTCCCTGAACACGTTCTCAACGTCGGTCACGTTCGTTCGTCAAGAGGGGAGGTCAAAAGCTCTGAACGGTGTGCATTGGCTAGCATCTCCACCCCAAGCAACTTGCATTTCCTCCGAACAGTGTTCATGGTGGTGAAAGGAGATTCAGGCATTGGGTGAGCAGATGCTTTCCAGATGAGCGATGATCTCCATGCCCAGCCAGGTTGTCTTTGGTTTCTTCGGATTCCATTCGTGTCACCTGGAGAAAAGAACCGGAGAGAATCCGGCGAATCCATGAAGGATCCCAGTCAAGGGAGTGCAGCTTGGCATTACACCCCCTTGTTTCCTCTAGGCGCCTTAGTTCGTGCCCTACCCTGGGGAAGGTTCCCCCCACTAAAATAGACTACAGAAAAAAGAGTACCCTTATTCTAACCTCTGGAGGACCTAGTCTATTCCCCAGAAGTAGCTCCCCAGGTTTTTTATTTTTCTGTTTTCTTAGCTTGTGTTTGGGCCCCAATTGTTATTTCTCCACGAAAGGCAACACATCTATTTGTTTTGCTAAGGTCCTATTTTTTTCCAGCCAAGTAGTTGTCAGGGCTATGTTTCAGTCTGGATCACTGGATGGAATCCCAGGAGTCCGGCTTCGTGACTGTGGTGACGGTGGCCAACCAGAAGTTCACTGGCCAGGCGCAGCCCAAGAAGAAGGACGGAGCCAGGGATCGGGCAGAGCGACTTCAAAGCGATTTAATGTAGACTACCATTCGGGTAAGAATATCTATTAGTTTCCCTTGTTGGTTTTAAAAGGAATCTATCACTACATATCACTATTGGACATATATTTTATTTTTAACAGGGGGCTTAGCCAAATAGAAGTAGAGGCTCCAATTCGATGCACTTGGGGCCAAACAGCCAGGTTTTGAAGACTGGGCCCCAAACACTGAAGCGGGGTGTCGAATGGAGGTGTCGGGTCTTGCATTGAGTGTTCCAGGAGCCTCCCATTGGACAAAATACGACCTTGCCAGAGATTTCTATTGCTGACCTGTTCGAAACATGTGTCCTCTCACATAGCACACGGTTTAGCTTTTTGCAGTGTCTAAGTCTGGCCGAGACCGGAAACCAAAGACCTGACAATAAAAGGACCCACGTGAGACTTCGGAACTGCTTGCTATCTATTGAGTCCCCACCTGGATTTTGAAATCTCGAAGCAAGGCACGCTGATCATCGCGGGGATCGGTCTTTAAGCCTCCAGAGCGGAAAGCTGGTTATAGTTGGCTGCGGAACACTGGGAGGGGTGCCCCTTGATTTCGACAAAATCATGATGCTTAAATGCCTTGTCTTGCCCTGGCTTTCCGTCTTTCTCTTGGAGTCGGAAGTTAACCAACTTAGAAAGATTATGCCAGGGATATAGCCGGGGTTGCTGGGGTGCAGGCGTCTTCTTCTAGCCACTGTTAAAATGCACTTACCAATTGGCTTGAACACCCAAAAGGCAATCCTGGACATAGGGTGTACCGTAGGACCTCTTTGAGGTGTCCACCATTGGGCAGTGCTTGACAGACATAGTTCACGATGCAAGGTATGTCAGGTAAGTGGTGAGTACCCTTATTTGGGGGGTTCATCCTGAAGGGCAACATTGGATGCGCTGAATATTGCAAGTAAACCAACGAGCCTCCCATGCCACAAACAAAATGTGGCGAAAAATGAGTTTTCATGTTCCCTTGCAATGCTTAGGGCATCCACCGTTCGGGTGTGGGGCCATAGCTACGGTCTCGTGGTTGCGCAACCGAGCTGGCGAAACCTCACCGCTTGCTCAGGACGCGGAGCAGGCGGCTGCCGAGGTTGCGCTGCAGAGCCTCGCAACGGAGCGACATCTGGGTATGGCTCAAAGTTAAACAGGAGGGGCAAACCGCGGGTTTTGGTCCATGTTTCCACTTACCTCCGTTCCATTTTGGGTACCAGTGTTTTGAGCCACAGCCATCTCATTGCCGGGTTCAACTCAAAGAATGCCGAGGAGCCCCCATGTGAAGGCCTCTTTGAAGTCTACTTCCGGCCAGAATCAAGGAATGGATTAAAGAAAAAGCGTGCATACCAGTGGTCAGATTGCCTTTGAGTAGCACAGCTGGCCCTTCTTTCTGTTTCTCATTGTGCATTTCAGCCAGCCCAACCAGTCGAAGTCAACGTTTGGGTCTAAGTCTGGCCATCTCTGAGGTCTGTTAGAACCCCGCCTGGTACATCTGATAGGTGCAGGAGCCTTTTCTGAGCCACACATCCAATCCCGGGTAGGTGAAAGTTCGTGGGCCCTTGCCCGTCCCAGACAAGGGCGCCGCAACAAGCCATTTCTTAATACGGGTGTGGCTCAAAATTAAACAGGAGGGGCAAACCGCAGGTTTTGGTTCATGTTTCCACTCAGCAGGGTTCCATTTTGGAATTCCGGTTTTTTGAGCCACAGCCATATCTTTAGGTACACTCCTCAAATACCAGGTCCTTCTCCTTCGCTGCGGTCGACCTTTGATGCCATCCGGCTTCGACTCTTTTTCGCCGGCTCGTTCATTGGCTGTGCCCCATGTCGATGCGTTTTTCACTGGCAAAGTGAGTCACTGAGTCTTAGATATGGGTATGCGGTATGCCTCATGTGCTTTCACTGAGCCGAATTTTACATACCAAAACCCAGAGGCGATGCAGTTGGGTGGCTTTCAGAGGCCTTTGCCACTCGTGTTCTTAGAGGTGCAGATTGTACTTAGCTCAGAGCCGTTAGTGTGGCAACAGGCGAAGATGTGATTGAGAGAGGCCTCAAAATGGAAGTTCGGCTTGTTGGTTTTCAAAAAAACACGCAAGTCCCGATTTGACCATTTGCAAGTGTTTGCTTTTATGCACAATCTGTTGGTTGCCCAACTTGCAAAACGACCAGGATTTACGGGTCCGTTGGGTGGCAAACGAGGCAACCAAAGCCCTCAACGGCCCCCATAAGATACACTGTAATAATATACATACACACACACACACACTCCATGCCACACCGCCAAAATATCCTTTTTGTTGGTTCGGTCTAGCTATTTCCTTTGTCCTTGTTATCTAAGGATTCCGACTAAGGTGTGCCGTATGTGACCAGTGGCTTTCGGGGTAGCCGGTCCCATGCCTCCTAGCAAATGAATTTGGGGCTCTCTTTTTTTGCGGGGGAGTTCTTTCAAAAGGCGAGGGTTGCAATCCAACGAATCAAAGGGCACCAAAATCCTCTTTCAGACCCTTTACAAGGAGCCCTTTTTGTTTCGTTTGGTAGAACTCATTGAAGTGAAAGCCTCAAAAGCACTCTGCAAGAGGTGGTTTAAATGACATGTCCCTCCAGAAAACAGAAGTGACTTTGATCACCAAAGAAAGCAGGTCGCTGCAACAAATTGCCCTGCTGGGTGCTCAGCAGGGAATGAGGGAATGACCCCTATGAACCGTCCATCCAACTGGTGGTTTCCTTGAATGGGCCCCCCAGGTTCATTCCCTCATTCTCTACTGAGCACCAGCAAGTCACCCAACCTGCTTGCAAGGAAGCTACTGCCGACGGCAACGAGTGCCCCGGTCCCAGCAGCAAGCCTTGCCGCCCCCACAGGCGGTCAGGGTTCTCCTTGCCAAAATGCTGGAGACCTTAGGTGTCCTTGTGATCCGTTAGTTTGCTTGAACATAGATGGGCTCCACCGGTTTAGATTGGTTTATTCCATTTAGCGGGGCCATCTCACCTACGGGGGCTCACCCTGAACTGTATGGGCAAAAAAGAGGGGCGTCTTTTTGCTGTTCGGTGGAGGTCTTGAGGGTCAAGTGGAAGCTTGGCTTGGCCAATGTTCATCACACTGGTTGATAGACCTTCCGACTTCTGGTGGTCCATATCGGAGGATTGGACCAAGAAACCATGTGGTTTGCCATGTTTGGTCTATGGCAAGTCAGGAACAGTGATCACCTTTTGGATCCTTTTGGTCGAAGCGAAGTTATTGTTTTCCGAAAGTGAACTGTGAATCCTTCGTTGGGGAAAGCTCCTCCTTGAGGCAGGTAGCACATGTTTCTGACTTATACTTGCTTCTTGCTGATTTTAGGAATCTTGTTGCACAACCGGTTTTTGGTAGGTTGTTCAGGTGCACCCTGTCTCCTTGCCAGACCTAGCATCTGCCTTTTGTTTAACTGTTGCCTTTTTGGTTCCCTTTTTGCTCCCTTCCAACCAGCAACGTATTTTTTGCCGGGGGTCTCAGTCAGGTCCAGTCTTTCAAAAAGGGCGGCCACACATGGCTGTGGGTCAAAACCCTATTTTAGTTGGGATTGGGATGTTCACTGAGGATTACGATTTGGATTTTGTCCCATGGCCATGTTCCTGTTGACGAATTATTGCATATTCCCTTTACCACAGTTCCATTGACCAGGGTTCCATTTTGGGTACGTTGACCCACACCAAATCCGTCCCACCTTCGACAGGCGTGGCGAGTGCACCCAACCCCAAGAGTGCGTTGAACGAGTGGGCGCTGAAGCACTGGCGCCGGCCGGCGGAGGAGTGCCTCAGCTGGGGGCGAAGTTTGTTGGTTTTCCGAGTCCCAGTTGCCCACTGGATTCCGCCCGTGTCTCTTTTTTTTTTTTTTGTGTGTGTGTGTGTGTGTTTGGGGGAAGGATGTCCCCTTTGAACTCAACCAACCAAAAAACATGAAATATATATTATTATTGGGGGGAGGGTTCCCCTTTAAACTCAACCAACCCAAAAAGGATGCCTTTTTTTTCTCGCCTGGCCACTGGGCATCTGAGGTTGATTCATTTAGGGCCCTCAAACAGCCAAATCCCCAAACGCCAGGTCTGGGTCTTTCATTGAACGTGCCACGGGGGTGGGTCCATTTGCCACTCAGCCATCCTGAAAAAAACAGCAACAAAAAACACTTGGCCCGTTTCTTCAAATGTTTGGTGGTTGTTGGAAAGAACGATCCGGGGTAAGAATGGGGAAGCTATCCCTTGAAGTAGTGGCTCAAAATTACAGAGCTACGGTTACGCAGGTTTTGGTCCATGTTTCCACTTACCAGGGTTCCATTTTGGTACCGGTTTTTTGAGCCATACCCAAGTGTGGTCAGCAAGGAGCCAGCGACAGTGTTCTGTGGCGGAATGCAGTTGGCGATCAGCCAAAACTTCCACGGTTCTTGGGGGATGTATCCCAGAGCTCCAGCCTGTTGCTCGTTTTAGTCCATGTTTCCATTTGCCAGGGTTCCATTTTGGGTACCTATGTTTGACCCACAGCCATACAAAGTCAACTACCAACACCACGAAGTGCCCTTTTTGCCCCTGGGCATTGTTTTTGTTCATCATTGGTGGCAAGGTCAAAGGGTCGACGTGTTTTGTCCGACAAGCCCAAAGTATGAGTCAATGAGGCATGTTTGAGTGGCGCCCGTACTCACTGATTAACACTGGACTAAACAAGTATGCTCTCAAGGAATGCCCATGCTTTTGTTCCGGCTTCCAGGTATACTACTGGAGTCTCGCCCTTGCTAGTTTTCCCCAAGCTGAAAGCGATGCTAGATCTGCCGCAACAAAGAAGCTGGGACTGGTTAAGTTGGGGGCAATTGGGGATTCTAGACTTCCAATGGATCTCCGTGGGAAAATGGGATTGTTTTTTACACTCCCCCAGACTAACATGGAAGCTCCCAGAAGGCCTCTGTAAATGGGACCAAGTCTTCCATTTCGGGGTCCGTTCGGGAGCTTCCATGGAATCGTCTGGGGGAGGGTAGACTCACCAAGGAAAGCACTCAGCTGTCTTCGGGCCATCCAACTGGCCTCATTCTTTTTCCATGATCAAAGTCAACCCTAAGTCCCTAAGTGGGTTCCGTAAGTGGGTTAAAGGGCAACCACCGATTCCATTTTCTGACTTTGATAACCCCCAGAAACCCTAAAACCCCAGTCCAAAGGCTTCTCTCCTACAGCACGGTGCCGGCGCCCGGCGGCTTTGTGAGCACCTTGCAAGTGGCAGCAACTGGCCAGCGCTTCACCGGGCAGGTGCAACCCAAGAAGCAGCCCAGCGCAAAATAGATTTGGGACGCATTGGTTCCATTGAAACTTGCTGGTGCTCAGTAGGGAATGAGGGAATGACCCCTACAGACTTGTGGTCAGCACAAAATAGATCTCAGTTGCTCAGTGGCGCCAATTAGTTTTCCCTTTTTTGTGGCTGCCCCACCAAAAAAATGGTCTTCCCCAAAAAGGGTGCCCTTTTGTTCCAGGGACTGAGCAACTGAGAGATTTGAATCTCGTTGGGGTTCATTAACTTCAAAAGGCCCAGATGTTTGATGTGCTTTGAGACCTGACATGGCATTTGCACCGTTTGAACATGAAACTACGCGAGGTTGTGTTTGTTTAAAGCAGAATCAAAAGGCGCCGGCGCCTGTTAAGAGGAGCCTAATTAGATGAAAACCAACCAACTGGAAGGGTCCTGAATTTCGAGAAGGCCCGCTGATCTGGTGGAGGTGAGTCCCATCTGCCGTCAGCCAGCCGAAGCATGTCTTGTGTTCTGGTGGGGTTCGATCCTTGTTTCCTTGCTTTTTGGTGGGCTGCTTCAGTGCGCGTCAAGCAACCAATCGAATGTTCCTCAGGAAGCATGGGAAGCCAAGGAGAACGCACTCATTTTGGGGAGTCCCTCATGAGAAGAGCCACACGTGAAACCGCTGAGGAAGGACGCGGAGCAATCGGCAGCGGAGGCCGCTCTCAAGGGTCTGGCGTGAGGAGGGCTGCTGGCTTTACTGGATTCTCAGCTGCCTCAATGGGGGTTGATCAATATTCCCTCTTGCTTTCGACTTGCTCTTTCTTTGGTTTCTGTTTTGGGGGTTTCTTCTTTTTGGCGTCTCTTCTGTGGATTCCCACTTGTGCTCTCCCATTTTGTGCTTCCTTTTTTTGTGCTTCCCTCATTTGGCAGCCAATTTTGGTATTCCCAGAAGGTGATCGCCTTTCGTTCCATTTCCCTCAGTTGCAAGCGAGGATTTTACGCAAGAAGGACAGTCGCGACGGCGGCCGCAGCTTGGGTCTTGGCTTGCGGCCTCCGAACCTTTAAAGCCCTGGCCGGCGTTGATTGGGCCGATTGGTCCAGTCACCCATTGGGTGCCCATGATTTGACACCCAGAGCGTTTCCTTTTTGCGGCGCAACGCCGCAAGGCGTTCGCCTGAGCAATCGGAGGATGCCAGTGTCACAGTGTCGCCGTGTGGACTCTTGCACGAGTCCTTTGCCACATAGACTTGGTGCGCCATTCGAAAAGGGCCGGCAGGGCGTCGTTGCTTTCTTAGTGATTGCTTGGACTCTTCAAGACACAAACACCATCTGAAGGTATGCGAGGAAGTCCAGCTTCCAGCATTTCATTGCAAGATTGCACCTACATCTCATTTTGTTGAAGCAGCTGAACGCAGTAATGTCAAGCAATATCTAATCTTGCGTAGTGTTTGTGCTTGTCAACACTGACGCGTGTTTGGGTTCTACAGTTGTTTGTTCCAGGTGCCTTGGTTGCAAGTGAGCCTACTAAGCAGAATGAGGATGCACACATTCAAAGGGGGTTGCTCTGATTCCTCTGGGCGCTCAAAATTACATTTGGGTGTGTTTCCGCTATGCAGCTCGGGTAATTTCAGGATGTCTTCCGAAATGGATCCCAGTCACCACTTTAGTAGGTAACCAGCAATGTTCCTGTTGGATGTCAAAGACTGGTTTCCTTTGTTACCTACTAACTACGCAGGGAAATGGAATCACTGGGAAGGCAACCCTGTCCGTGGTTTAGCCCCTGATATTACTTCCGCTGGCAACCCAGAATGTTTACTACAAAAAGGTCCCCCAGGAATGCCCTTATACCCTTTTTTGCGGGAGAGTTCCCCTACTAAAATAGACAATCCAACAAAAATCGGGTACCAACGTATTCTAACCTCTCAAATCTGGAGGACCTAGTGCAAATAGGTTGCTAAAGGGGCACCGCAGGAGCCTCGCGTGCGCCGGGCGGCGGTGCTCGCAGTGCCCCGAGTGGCAGGCGCAGAGAACGAGAAGAGCGAGTGCCGAAAGTTGGTCTTAGGGCGGCCTGCGGGTGGCTTCCTTTCGTTAACTGTGTCCAGGTCCCCCAGTAGTGCCCTTTTACCGTTTATTTTTTGGGGGAGGGTTCCCCCACTAAAATAGACTACAGAAAAAAGGGCACCTATTCTATCCTCTTTACTGGAGGACCTAGGTGTCGTTTATGTTGTTTGTCAAGAAACTTTGTTTACTGGGTTTCCTGGGTTGCCACCTTTGTTCCCTTGATTTTAGAAATAGAGTGTATACCAAAAGAAACGCCTTTTTTTCCAATTGGCCACTGGGAGTTTGATACATCTAAAGTTCACCTGGTACAAGCAGCCATGTATCCTTAGAGGAACACTATTTTCTTCCTGGGTTTCCCCTTCCAGCACCCTCTAAGGCCTGCTTTTTCCCTTCTCCAACCCGACCGCAAACAAAATGCGACTCATACACGAGATGCGACGTCTTCCACTTCGAATGCTGGAAGACCCTGTGATGGTCTGGTGGCTGAGGCAAAGTGATTACTCTCGCGCTGTCAGCATCATCACAACCCGACTCATCTGTGTCGCTGCTTGAAGTTGCATGGGCACTTTCGGTTACCTCAGCCACAGCAAGTACCTGCTTTTTGGGACAGGACTTGGTGGTGGCTTTTACCCCATTTTTGCTTTTTCCTTTTTTGTCTTTGCACAAATTGGGACTTATAGTCTATCCTTTCTGGTTTCTCACGGCAGCCCTTTTCACTTGTTCTCAAGTTGGTGCAGCTGTTTTTTTTCCAAATCCCGAAAAGCATCAGACTCAGTTACCCAAAGCGAATCGACTGTTTTGACCTCTATAACCTTGTCACCCTTTGACCTTTCTGGAAGGTTTGAACAAATGTATGCTTTTTGCGGCAGGGTTCCTCATGTGTCGCCTTGGTCGCGTTCTCAAGAAATCATCCAAGATCCCTTTGGACAAAGTCTCTTTTTGGTTAAACATAAGCAGATGAACCGTTTAGAGCAGGGGGGGGTCCCTTTATGTTCCGACAAAGGGGGTCAAGGGTTGTCACAAGTGCGGAAAATTGCCTGGTGTTCAAACTTCGCCAGAAACAACCCGGAGAAGCTCCAAAGATTTGGTCACAAAGCGAAAAACAAGGAAGCTCTGACCCCGCCTGTCAGTGGCTAAGACTTTGTCCATATGGCTAGAAACAGGTTCCCAGACGAAAGCCAGGACCTTGTTTTACCATTGTGATTCGGTCATTGTTTTCAGGTTTGGAGCAAGTCTGCACTGACAACTGTGCAACATGGTGGGCCAGCGGTTGCTTTCGGGTTAGCCGTCGAGGCCCACCCTCTCGCTGGGTCTGTCCAACATGTCGACCTTTGGACCCAAGCCCCAAAGGACCAAGAAACAAGAGGTGTTAACCTTTGGGGACCAAAACGTGGACCATCATAGTACTATCAAAAAGGTCAAAAAGGGCGGCGTTGGACGACTGACCCCCCCCCAAACAAAAAGAAGTGCAGAAGCACATGGTTGGCTTGCTCCGTGGTTCCCAGAGTTCCTATATTGTCCCCGTAAACAAGCTCAATTGGCTAGACAGGGGATGCCTAAGCAAACACCAAAAGGGCAAACCTAGAAGCCTTGAAGCAATATAGTGAAAGAGTGTTATGAAAGGCCATTCATTTCTCAGGGAACGATTGGCTTTAGTGGAGAACACCGATCGGGATCTGTTAACCTGTTCCAACATAAGGTGCCTGCTGGGTCACGTATTTTTGGAAGCCACGTTTAAAGTCAACTACCACTAACAGGTTCCTTTTTTTTCCGCAATATATTGGAGGTCTGGGATACAGCTCCCCCCAGCATGTTCATGTGGTTCGTCCGTTTTTGTTTGTTTCTCGAGGAAGCTCCCGTCTAGCAGAGTCCCACTGATCCGTTTCGATTGGTCGTGAGGTGTTCCGATTGGTGCGATTTCGCATCTAGACCCTACCTGGGGTTCGAGTCCAGGGATCCCTCCAAAAGTTGACCAATCTACTGGTGGTCTCCCTTCAAAACGGGAAATGGAGGACCCCCTTCACCCCACCCACCCCACCCCACCCCACACCTCAGGCAAAGGCTGCCAGGCCGCGGTGGAGGTGCTGATCCCTCCGCTGGAGGCGCGGGGACTTGCGTCCTGTGGGAAAAGACTTGGCGCTCGCCGTGAGAGAGGCAGGGACCCCTGAGACATGGAACGTCCGCTAGGTCCCCCAGCTAGGTGCCCTTGTACATCCTTCCAACTTGTTTGGTTGGGAGGGTTCCCCTGCTGAAATGGGCTACAGAAAAAAAAGAAGGGTACCAGCTTATTCTAACCTCTCTACTGGAGGACCCAGGCTATATACCTGGTTTCCTAGCAAAACTTGCGATCGCTGCGGGAGATGCAGGGGCCATCTGAGAAATGGAAGAACCGGATCCGACGGGTGGTTTCCTGTAAGGGGGCCAACTGATGGTTTCCTTTAAGGGAATCCCTGGGTTTCCGTTTCTCATTTCCTATGGCACCCATCCGGATGGTGGTTTCTTTGAAGGGGAACTGTGAGAAGCCTGGGTTCATTGCCACATTCCCTGCCTATCGCACCAGCAAGAAAATGTTCGTGGCAAGCAAGTCCACGGATTTACTTGGTTCTCACTTTCCCAAAGACGACCTGACATGACCTGTTGGGTTTCCTATATTGCTCCATGTTGAGTTATTTGGGCAACTGAGGGTTCCCAGCCGTCCGGTCCTGAGCATTTTAGTTCTTTTCAGCTGGTTCGGTGGGGGTTTCCATTCAACCCACTAACAGTTAAAACGTTCAGCAGAGGATCTGAGAAGAGCTCAGTCTAGACTTGCTTGGGCCAATCCGCTCCAACAATGTGCGCCTTTTTGTCAGAGCTCTTTGGACACGACTTTGCATTGTAAGGTTTGCTTGGACAAGAGCAAGAATCCAGGGGGCAAACGCTGAAGTACTTGTTCAGGAAACCCAAGTAAGGAATGCCGTACTTTTCGTGGGTGGTCGTTGCCAAATTGGTTGGAACCCCTATGTGGCGAAACGCCTAAGTTTGGCCTGGCGTTGAGTTTGTCCACTTTATACGTGGATTGCGGTCCCCTTTTGGTTTGAAAGGGAAAACAACCCCGTTTTCGACTCAAACCTGAACCGGCATTGTAGGGCCATTTTTCGTGATACCATGGGGGAATCCCCTGACACCAGTCACGTGGATGACCCGCTTTGCCGTCCCCTCCCCGCGGCTTGCTGACATCAGGATGAATCCGTGGACGTGCGCGTGGCCGCGGTGAAGAGTCGGAAACCAAGTCAGGCAATTGACTTCCTGGGTGTATCCTTGACTTGGGTTGGGTAAAAGGAAGATCTCCACGGTGGGTGGAGAAAATCCGTGCCGATCGGCAGCAGTCGGGATTAGTACGGGGTTTTAAGTGGTGCGAGATGGAATTTGTCAATCCACGACAGTAGGGTTGTAGAGGGTTCCTTTGGATGCTTGTTGAGTTCCTTCTTAGGAACCCTCATATTCCTGCGTGGTTTCCTTAGCCTCGGAGTTGGTTCGTTAGGGTGCCTGGATGTTCGTTCGAGTCTTGCGGCAGAAGCAAATGTGAGGGGTGAAGCTGGCTTTGTCACAATCCCTGGAGGTCATTTGAGGGACCCTTTCCACTACCCAGTTTGGATGCAAGGGAAAGAATGAAGGTATCAATGTGTTGTAAAACAACTTGACAAAACAACAACAAATACCACGCGGTATCATCAGCATCCCCGGCATCGCCCTTCCCACTCCCTGGCCCATCGCTCCGAACCACTCCGGAGTGGATCTTTTTAGTTTTTAGCCGCGGAAAAAGCAAACACGGGGCATGGTCACAAAACAACAAACATGGCAACCCAACAAATGCAACACAAGAGCAACAAGCAAAAAGCATGGCCACCAAAACACAATAAACAAAATGCAACACACAAGCAACAAGCAACAAACATGTCCACCAAACAAAAAGAACATGCAACACAAAAGCACGACAAAAACAAGAAACATGGCAACCCGTAAAATGCAACCCAACAGCAACAAGCATGGCCACCAAACAAAAAGAACATGCAACACAAAAGCAACACAAAAACAAGAAACATGGCAACCCTTGGCTGCTGGGGCTGGCCTCGAGGTTTGCTGCTGGTGGCTGAGAAGGGCGACCCGCGGGCCATCGCGGCGCTCACGGCGCGCTGGGGGAGGGGTTGGTGAAATGGCGGGCCCTACGCACCAGAAGATCCCGGGTGTTGAGGTTGGGTCACTTCAACGTCTTGCATTTTGAGGGGTATCCCCGATTTCAGGTTGGGTCACTCAGCTGGTCTCGGATTTTGAGGGCTTCGCATTTGAGCCATGAGGCAAGAGCGCCCGTGGCGCTGGCCTCCCCAGCGCACCAACCCGCCCTCCAATCAGTGTTGTGGCGCTAGCTCCTCGCGTCAACGAAGGCGACTTGTTTGGTTCCTCGACGGGCCCCTTCAGGAGTTCCGGGCGGTATATGATCTTGCTTGTCCAAAATGCGTCGACCTTTCGACCTCGTGGTGTTCCTATTCTGAACCGAAAGGTTAAGCTTTGATTTCCAGGTCCTCGGAGGAAGTGAGTCACAGTGTTCCAGGATGTATGGTTCCTTTTGTTACCCTTGGCTAAACGCTTGACTGGGATGCACAGCACTACCACTTAGTAACTTGAAGCAATATCTAAGTAGTGTCCGCAGCCCCGTTGTCGCTTACGAATCTTCGGTATTCCTGCTTTAGGCAATTGGGTTGCTCAAACTGCCCCCCTCATCCCTCAACCCCGCCGCGTCCCCCTTGGGCAGGGTTGGGGCAAATCGCAGCAGAGTTGTTGGTTTCTTAGTACCGAACAACAAATTGACAACTTACCCCAGACCTCCAGTGGTGGCCGGGCAGTGGGGTCTTCCAAGCCGAGAATCTCTCGCTCCGGAGAGGTTCGACTGGAGGACCAGGAGGTCAGCAAGGAGCCACCGGTCCGGGGGGGTCGTTGCGTCGTTGGGTCGTTGGGTTGGGGAGGTGGACAGCTCTCTTACGGAGGAGTCAACGTAGGTCTTAGGCCTTGGTCACCGGACTTTGCTATTTTGAAGAGGCGAGCTCGGGGGTTCGCATCCCAACTAGTCAAAGTGCACCAGGGGCCCCTCTGGTCAGCTTCCTTTGAGCGTGACCTTTGGGTGTGTTTTTAAGGGACCCACACAATGGGTGGAGTTTTCTTTTTGGTTTCCAGTTAAACCACCCAATTGTCAAAAAGGGCACCCTCAAACAGGAGAGACCCAGAAAGAGCTGCCGTGGGTTCTTAGGGACATGGTTTCAAGGACAGAAGAATGGAAGAAACCGCACACACTTCATGTGTAGAGCAATCCCGTTGGATTGGACCCGCTTTTGACTTACACGTTAGTTTGCAGGGGAGCAGTTCTTTGCTTGTTGGTTTTGCACCCCTCGGCGGAACCCGCTTAAGGGAACCGTAGACGATTGAATAGTCCCAAAAAAGCCGCAATAGTAGGCGCGCTACATGCTCTATTCGCGGGGCCTGTGGATCCCTAGTGCCGGTCCCCTGGAAAGCTGCAGCCTTTTTTGGCAGCCTCTTGCGGCCTTAGTTGCACAGTGGCACTTGTGTCCATTGTGTTTTGTGTGGTCCTCCCGCAAAAGGCGTCCCTTTTTCTGCCATGGTCACTAGCCCCGAGATCTAGTCACAACCTTCCGCAAGCCATGGAGGATGCCCAAACAAACAGAAGGGGTGGTATTCAAGCCGCGAAAGAAACAAAACGAAGGTTTGCGTGGTGGGAGGGGGTGAATGGACCTCAAATAGTTTCTCCTGGTCTATTGTCCCCTGCTTTCCTGAAAGGGGGAGGGGCAGGGTTCTGAGATGTTCTGAGCTCTAAGCTAGCGAGTCCCGGCCCATCGTAACCGCCACATCCCCAATCCAAGCGCCCAGGATGCTCCTCAATGTGCCTCGGATGACACTTTGGATGGGCGGAGGCAGTGGTTGGGTCTTTGTTTTCGGAGAGAGATGTGTTCTTCCTTGTTGGCACCAGACAGAGTTCACTGAGCTTGGAAACAGCATGGTCAGAAAGGTAGCTGCTGGCATTTTGTTTGCCTGCCTCGGCGAAACCCTTGACCCCCCCACTCTCTCTGTCTTGAGGCGATGGAATTGCTTTTTGGGTCGGGGGTCCTCTTTCCGGAAGTACGGGGTCGGAAGTTCTTGTTCTAGGACTCTGAGACCTTTTTTCCGGCGATTTGGCAAGCGCCCATTCTTGCAAACTTGTTGGTCAGCTGATGTCTCGTTTGCGCTGCACGTTTCATGAAACTCCATGGTTTCCAACAATGCTGCGTGTTCTGTCTCTGTGTGTGTTTTTGTGTGTCTGTGTGTCTGTGTGTCTGCGTGTCTGTGTGTCTGTGTGTCTGTGTGTCTGCGTATGTTTGTGTCTGTGTCCGTATCTGTCTGCCCAATCCGGCTGTCAGTGTCATTGCCATTGCGTGCATTCCTGCGCTGTAAAATTGTCGATGACCTTGTTCCTTGAGAACTTGGATGGCCTGCACGCGGTACCAGTCCGTATGAAGAACATCCCTTCAGGGCACGGCTGATTGCCCAAGGCAAACGTAAACTGAGCCGCAGAAGGCTGGCACGAGCGTGCAGCAAGCGCCTGCCTATGTCCACCAGACCTACAACACGCAGGCCTGCTACATGGGGCCTTGAGCGGCTTCCACTAGGTCCTGAGCTTGTTCTTTCAGGGAGCCAACAAAACAGTTGACGCCGTTTGTGCGCAACTGTTGGGCCGCACATGGCGCTGTGATGCTTTGGCTTGCGGTGGCGACTGCGGCATGCCATTCTATCCCCTGGTTGTGTTAACAAGACCTAACGTGCCTCCATGGCTGGTTTGCCAATTAGCAATGTGCAGTATTACTGCCATGTTCATAGACTATATACTGTACATTTGGGTGTGTCCTTTTTCGGGCACCCCCAAAAATGGCTGCTTTCCTTTTGGCTTCCCCTTAAAACCAACCAAAAAAGGGCTCTTGCGATCATGACTAAAATTGGTTCTAAACATCCCACAACCTCAATGGAGTTCTTCGGGCCATAGGAAGCCATGAAAATGATCATGCCCATGCAGCCAGCACTCCGATGCGTCGCCCGATGCGAGAACTTTGCCTAGATGGGATCGCAAGGTTGTGCTTGAGGTGTTGGAGTTCTCAGAATTTGCAGCCCTTTTTGTAAGTGGTGTTTCTGTAAGTGCTGTTTTTGTAAGTGGGTTAGAATTGTCAACCGTTTTTGTAAATGATTCCCCCAGACCTGTTTCAGTGACTCGGGTCGGGAAGGCCTTCCAGTGGTATCGCAGAGAGCAAAGACTCCGCGCATGTCCGTCTCCCAAGAGTTAGCCCGTGGTAGCTCCGATGGCTCGTAAGCTGGATATGAACCCACATAAACAACAAAGATACGGAAACAAGCAAAGACTAAAACAAGTCTTGGCTAAGCACGTTCTTTCGGTGCGTGGACGGCTGCTGGCATGTGATGTTGGGCTCCCTGATGCACCAAAACCTAAGACGTGTAGTACTTTTGATGCCATGTGCGTGTTACACAATGTCCAAACAAATCCCCAAATCACCGAAAGTGCGCGGCCAACAAAGACAACCACTTCAGCTGTTTCCCGGTACAATACCATGTCTGTTGTAAGGAGGATTCAGCAAGTTTCCACTCGGTCTGTAATGTGAGATGTCTATGGCCTACGACACACCCCAGATTTTGATGGCAGACTGTCGCACACCAATGGTTCTCAGGAGAATTCCGACGATCTGACTGGGTGATCTCGATTTTTACCATCGGGGGGGGGTGAATGACAGCCATTTGACGCAAGGGGCTTCACTTGCGTGGATGAGGGGTGAACCCCTTGTGATGGACACACCAGGCACATTTTGCAGCCACCCATCCTTAGGGTATTGGGGTTTGAGCCTGCATCAAAGGCTCTTTATGTGGTCCATGGCATGAACTCTGCCCGGGGTCCCCTTTTGGAGCATTTTACTACTTGGTTGTTCGATTCGCCATAACTCACTTATTTGTATTTCTAGGTGGGTTATAATGTCTGGGTGGGTAATCACCCAGGTGGCCAGCCACTTCTAACTTGGACGCCATCCAAGTAGATAAACAAAAATAATATATTTTTTTCCTCATGTAAAAGGCTGGCCAGCCCGAGCCCAGACTGAGGCGTGGGCATCAGGGCGGCCAAGGCCTTGAAGCAGTTGGTGACCTCGCAGGAGGATCCAGCTGAATCGCTGAATTGCTCACTCAAGTTCCTGGGTCACCATTTTGACATTTTTTTTGGAAGGGCGTGAGTAGTCATCAAATGGTCTCGCAAAAAAAAGAGTCACTACCTTATATATGTTTTTCTTTATTATTGTTATTATTTTTTTACGGTGTGAAGACCATGCTGAGCGACTTGTTCTCACCTGGGTAAAGTTGGTGGACCCCCTTTACGGCTGGGAGCCCCTAGAGGGTGGTTCCAGTTCCGAGCATCTATTTTCCGACGTGGCCTTCAGGCAGAGAACACATAGGCATGGGAAGGCGAAAGAGGGCTCACCGATCGGCCGGATAGGAGCGCCTTTTTGTCAGTCACATTGTGGGCTTGTCTTGTTTGAGGGTACCCATGTTGGCCTCCATTGGGGCTATTTGTGGTGTTGCCATGAAGTTCCAGCGTAAGTCTGGCAATGCCCTCTTGTCCAATTCTCCAATATCGCTTTTCCGGGTGGCAAAGCGCTTCATTGAAAAGAACGGTGGGGCCATAACATCTGCAGTTGCCAGTTGGCTACGTGAAAGGGAGTGATTAAGCATATGGGTGTGGGTCAAATTCAACCACCAGGGGACCGCAAGTTTTGGTCCATGTTTCCACCTACCAGGGTTCCATTTCGGGTACCTATTCTTGACCTACAGCCATATTATGGCTTGAAGACATGGTTCAGCGGTTTGCGGGACTCAAACGAGTGATTCGCCCCAAGAATTTGGTCAGTTGCTGTGCCACCATCACGGAAGCTGCCAGGAGGCCCCTCTCAGCACGGGAGGCCCTTTTGTCAGCTTGCTTGACCACTGAAAACCATGGTCTGACCACAGAAAACACGCGTTTCACTTTTGTTCTATTCAAGCACTGAGCCGTTTTTTCCTAAAGGACACCTTGGCCTTGGACCAACTGGTCAAAACCACAAAACCTCTTGTCGAGGTTTTCGTCAGCAGGTTCCTTCAAGATGAAACAATGTTAAGGGCTTTCTGGGCAATCACGTGTCATGTTTGACTAATGTACCCGCTGTCTACCAAGCATGGAAGTGGACAGGGGCCTTGTTCTCGAGGACTGCAGTATCCCCTCACCTTGATGTCAGCTGCATGAAAGGGGAGGACAACCATGCTTATAACTATAACTCATATGACATAATGTAAGCTCGTCACTAGAGCAACTCGACCGAATCTGCCTCTTACTTGTTCTTGTTTGCCCACGTTGGCTCTCCGATCAGCGTCAAGGTTTTCTGAGTGATGATTTCTATTCTCAGACCTCTTGGTTGCACTCGAGCTTAAGCAGTTCCAAGTCAAAGTGCCCACTAGCTTGGCCCGACTTCCCGAGTTTCTGGTTGCACATATTTACCTGGGAAGCCCATTTAGTTGCAAACCAGAAAGTGAATCAGTTCAGTGGAAACCAGACCTTCCTCACTTTTGGTTGCCAATCCGGATAATCAACCAGAACTTCCTCAGTTTTTTGGTTGCCAATCCTCAGTGAGACTTTGGGACTCTTGCTAGGAGCTGGTGCACATTGCCAAGAACCTCAAGTTCCAGGGCCCATCCATCCGCGGCTTTTGATCTTCCCAGCCAATCCAAAGGAGCCGCGGAAAAGTGGGTGCTGGCCCTACGTGAAACCCACCCTTTGTTCCCCAACACATCCTTCCTCCGGAGGGGCGAAACGAAAAAAACGACGACGTGAAAGGACCTCGCCTCGTTGATCATCTTGCATACCATCCTGTTGGTTGGCAGCTGCTTCTCCCTTACTATGTTTGATGGAGTATATGGCTGGGATGGAGTGGTGTTCTTCCCTTGGTTTTGGGTGATTTGAAGCCAGCGGTCTGCATGTCTAGCCCCGCATGTACCAAGGGCGCCGCGGATGCTTTAACAATTTCTCAGGGTCAATCGTTTCTGTTTCCCTCAAGAGTCGGCACCATATGGGTGTGTCTTTTTTCGCGGACACCCACAACCGTGGTTTTCCTGTTCCTTTAACCGCCACGTGGGCGCGTCTCTCTTGAAATTCAAGCAGCCAAGCAGCTGATGAGTTGTGGCGTCGTGGTTTTGTTCTTTTTTTTCTCATAGCCGCTGGGCTAAGCAGTTCACGAAGGGAAACATCGCCTCAAATCACATTCTCACTTGCCCAAAGCGAATCGACCTGATCTGACCTTTTGGTTTACTTGCCAGCGAATCGATCTGACTTTTGGGTTTCCCTGGTCCATTCTTGGAAGTCCGAAAAGGTCAACCCTTCATTCCCAGATCCTTGGTTGTTTGGCAAGAAGAACATGTCACAAGCGGGGGGCCTTGTCAGTTCAGCAATTTGGAGGAATGTTGCCTAGAACATGTTCATACCGTCCACCAACACGGAACCCACAGAGTGTTCTTTGGTGCATTCTGCTTGGATGTTAGGACCTTAACTTTTTGCCAACTCATGGGTTTTCCATTAAGCCACTAAAAGTTAAACTTTTAGCAGGGGAGCAGAAAGCAACCGTGTTGTAAGGAAAATTAACTTTCAGGACCCCCAGTCAGGTTCTTTTCATGGGGGCCTTGCTGCGAGGTGACTTGCCAGAACCCGCGGGTTTCAGCGGCGCAGCTGGCTCAAACGGGTTTAGTCTTAACAGAAGTAGCACAAAAGGCTTATGGCGGCGGCCTCGGACGACTCGCTGCGTGTATTCTCCGGGAAGCCCTCAGCTGTTAAAGAGTGCTCGCGATGTGGTCTTTGAGTTTGATCGGAGTGGCTATTGTGAATAGGTCAGGAGTGTCCTTCGTTCGATTAAGCACTGTCAGTTTGCATTGTTGCTGGTTTGGATTGGTGGTTTGGGGGTAACAGGGCCCTGGTTCTCGTAGAGGGTAAATTGGGAAATCACCTCCCCAACCAAACCGCAAATCCGAGTTCAGCAAGCGCTTAAGTGGGTAGATGTGTCAGGTAGTAGTTGTTCCCATCAGGAAATGCGGTTGCTCAGTACGCTCCATGCCATGGAGACTGATGAAGGGAGGTTGTTCGGGCCCATTTTCTTAATTTGGACCTGAGGGGATCCACAACGGCGAGGGTGCTTGAAGGCAGGCATTCCCAGAAATGGAGTTCAATCCACGCACTCCCTGAGCTGCTGACTTTAGACTTTTTGGGCGGTCAATGTAAGAGAAACACAAGCAGCTTAGACCTTTCTTCAGGCTTTTGTCCAGGAAGTGAGACCCTCCTTTGGACAGGTTCCATATTAGTAGTCACTAGTGACTACTGAACCGAACAGATCAGTTCAGAAGTGTTGGTGATTTGGGCTGTCACCTTGCTAGTCTTGGCTGCGTCCCCAACAGCTGAAAGCTTTGGGGTCACTGCTTTCACGGAGGGCTCCGGAGGGTTCCAGGGGAGTCCAGGGCTGTTTGGGATACCACCTGGGCGTTGTTGTTCAGCCTTTAACGTGTTGGGAAGATATGTGTTTAGGGGCAATGAAAAAATATGGCAACCAAATGCAACCAAGCTGGGTTGCAGGCCAATGCGGGCGGGGATCCATTCGGATCCATTTGGCAGGGCTGGGCAAGTTTGTTCAGCAACCAGGCCTTGGCCATTTCTCATGCAGTTAAACACCTTCAAATTATACAGTTTCGCCATTGCTCCAGCCAATGGTGGCAGCATCCCGGATCCCTGGTAAGCGCTTCGGGCTCACCACGAATTTGTGGTTAGACGTTGGGAAGTCAAGGGGTTGACTCCCCAAGCAAATCGCCACCCGGGATCCCACCAGAAAAACGGGTTCGAGGCGATGGAGAGCGCGGCCTTCGCTTTCACTGGAGCGGCCGAAAGCTGAGAGCAGCCGAGAAAAAACGGGCAAAGAGTTCGGTGGATGGACGAAATTCGTTTCGCACCACTTGGAAACCATGGTTGACGCCCTAGCGTTGGTTGGTATTTGCAGGGGAATCATCAGAAGCCAGGGTTTCTTAGTTGGTGCAGAATTTGGCCCATTCGCGGTATGGGTGGCTCGTCTTTCTTCAAGTTGGTACCCCTGCTTTGTGGTTTGAAAGGGAAACCAAAAGGTACATCAGCATTGTGTGGGTTCCCGCAATTTGAGAAACCCAATATAGTTTGGGTGACCCGAAATGTGTCTCTAATTGGGAGAACAAACAGTGGTGTTGTCGATTTCCCTTCGAATAGCCAAAACAAGACTCCAAGACACCCAAATGGGGAAACACGGATGCTGCACACATGATTGTCCTGCGCAAGCCGCCCCGTCTGTTCGAACCCATTAAACAGGTCCCCAGTACAACAATTGCTTGATCCTGGTCAAGGAAGGTAGGTGCACCCGCGTTTCGGATTAAGGACCAGCTTAAACTTAAGCTGGCGCAGCAAAGGCAGCCAGCCACCTTTCATGGATGCCCTTGCTGGGTTTCAACGCGCCCGACACAGGTCCTTGTAAGCTCATAAGCAAACCGCCAGATAGATATGCTGAATATTCCCAGAGCCCCTGCACCACCAGCAGAGTACCGGGGAAAGGGGGGTAAGTATATAACAACTTTGTAGTAAGTTGTGTATACCCGGGTTTGCCTGGGCGTCATGAGGGAAGAGGAACCTCATGCTTCCACTTTGAGTTTACTTGCATTTGCTCAAAAATGTGTTCTATTTTCCCCTTCTGGTTTAAATGGGAATCTACCACTATACTCGACATATTAATGGGAGCTTACCCAACGAAGAAGCACCCAGGGGGTCTTCCACTTTTTGAGGAGATCGACTACCCGCAAGCAGAGGGGGCTGACATGGGACACCCCAAAAAACTGCAATTTGCGAGTTTTTCGAGGGGAGCTAACCAGAGGAGTAAACAACTATAGGTTCTGAGTGGACATCCTCTCTTCGGATCTCAGTGCCACTGAGTTCACCCTCAAAATCCCTTGTTGATTGATGAACCTTTTCCCGGCACCCGAAACGGGGAGGCTTTTCTGTGGGACGGTCACCCGTTGAGTTGACTTCAAAACGCGTCGTTTTGTCGCCCGGCTCCGAGGTGTCTCCGAACCCAGCGGTTTTGCGTGCTCCGCAGGCCCCGCCGATGGTTTTTTCCTGTGCCGAAGCGTGAGACACGACGTCAATCCACCGTACTTACCCCTCCTTCTGTGGATGGTTGCCAAATCCATTTCGAAAAAACCACCGTTCAGAAACCCTGGTTTCTGATGATTCCCCTCTAAATACCAACAACAAATATGGTTTCTCATGGTTTCTTAGTAGGTGGTGCAGGGTTTCGTCCATCCACAGCACTGGTCTCCTTGTATTGTGATTGGTTGGAGCTTTCTATTGGCGTTTGCGAAAAACCCTTGGACACGGTGTGCTCTAAAAAAACAACCAACATCCATAAAGTTCCATCATGCCTAGAATCAATCGCTGCCGGGGCGCGGGGGTTTTAGGGGGGCGGCGGGGATGGGGGGATGGAGCCACGGAGAATTCCGCCGATCCAAGGGGGCAAGGGGATCAAACGCGCCCCAACCCGAACCGGCACCAACAGCTGCCTTCCAACCCCATGTCTCACAGCAGTTGTTGGTGCACCACAGTTTTCCCTATGGACCCTCCAGGTTCCTTGGGGCATCCTTGTGTTGATGTAATCCCTTGCGGCTGTTGGGGTGCTGGAGTGCCCTTTTCGATTTCGGGGCAACTCCCTGGCCCTTGGAAGGTGCCGGGCGCTTGTGGTCTGCAGACTTGGCCAAAAAAAGAAGAAGTGTCAAACATGTGACATTGCACCACTGGTGGCCCTTGTTCATACTGCGGATGAACGATATCCTGCACCACCTAAGAAGCCCTGGCAGTATGATTTGACTGTAAATACCAACAAACTATGGTTTCTCATGGATTCAAAGTGGTGCAGGATTTCGTCCACCCACAGTATTAAAGTCAAGCCTTGGCTGGTCTTTTGTATGACCTTAGCCCCTCAGACCTTTTGGCACGAATGGCGTTTCGCTTAGACCTTTTTGCTCAGGGGGAAGATCGACCCAGACACCTGGTTACCTGGTTGCTGTTTTGTTTTTTCATCCCTAGAAAGAATGTGCATGGTTTGTTGGGCTTTGTCTAAGATTCCTTGGACGATGATTCCCCGGCAACTACCAACCAGCGTTATGGTTCCCTTAGTTTCCATGGTTTCGTCCATCCACAGTAGGCAAATGGCCATGGTGAACATCCCAATCCCCACTAAAATGGACTAAAATTTGGGTGGTGCACCTCCAACATTTTTGTTTGACCCGCCAAATGACGCCAGCAGCTTGTCCCCTTCCTTCCGTTCCGACCGCCCCACCGCCTTAGTCGCCCCGAGCGACCCGAAGCCCTGAGGCGCAGGTCTTCACGGCGTCTTTCGCCGCTGAAGCCCCGAAGCCCTCGGATGCCTGGGGCCCAGAACATGGGTGAAGTTTCACCGCGCGGGCACCGCGGGAAACCAAAAGAGGGGGTTCCTTGAACGTAACTTGGGTGAACTACTTTGCGTCAGGGCCTATCAGAGTTGAGGTGAACGGATTTGTTTGAAGATTATTTTTTTCCCTTTGAGGTTCTCACAAAGAATTGATGCGTCCAGATTGTTTCTAGAGGGCGAAGATGGGTAGAGTCATAAACTGGGGTTTCACAACGATTCGACATGATTCGACCTTGAACGGACAATAATTCAGGAAACCCTTAGTTGGTGGTTTAGATTGGTGTGAACTGAGGAAGGTTAATGGGAAACCCCTCCTTAACCACCAAACCACCAATCCAAACCACCAACTCTCATTTGTGTTTCACCCTGGACTCAAGAATTCAAACATAATCTCGCATTCTGAACATGTGATTTTCGTTGCACCCCAAACGTGCGCCAAGTATAGCTCATGTTCCAATTCACGAAGTCCCAAATCCGAGAGGAACCATTGTGACAAGCACGTATAATTAAACAACCGGCTTACTTGGCGGGTTTTGACCATTACACATGAGTAACACGCCTATTGGTCTATTGTTAGTTTGGGAGAACATGGCGGGACGGCGCGCACTTCCTCAGAAACATGGAGGGACAGCACCCTCATGGGAATCCCGCACGGGCTCTTGAAATTGCAACGCTTTTTCAGGACCTGCGAAGGGGGGGCTTCAGGAGCATGAGGGGGATCGGGCTGAGAGAGAGCTGGGGGTATGCCAATGGAGAGGACCAAGTCAGTTATCTCGCTGCTCGGGTTGCGTGAGTCGCCAAATGGCAGAGCTGGCTCCCGACAGCTTTGCTTTGAGTGTCCAATGTAGTGACCTCGGTTTCGCAGGCTCCAGCCTCATGATCCTGTCAGTCACCTGATAGCTGGTAACTGTTACCGAGGAATCCCCGTACGAAAACGTATGGGTGTGGCTCAACATTAAACAGGAGGGGTTACGCAGGCTTTGGTCCATGTTTCCACTTACCAGGGGTCCATTTTGGTACCGTTTTTTTTTTAGCCAAAGCCATATGTTACTCAACCCTTGGCGACGGGGCAATTCAGTACTGTCCATATTGCCAGAGGATCTCCGAGGCATCCGCAATCGTTGCCCTCTATGTCTTGTGGAAACCTTAGGAATCTGAGAGCTCCCCGAGTGCCGCAATCTCCCTTTTCACCTCCAAAAGTTTGAGTTGGAACCCGCCAATCCAGTGCGACCCTAGGGGAAATCCCGTGACTCTCTTTTTTTAGGGGGGGGATTGACCTGTTGGGTGTCAGAAAGTTAGGCGCCAAACGCTCAGCTCGTGCACGGGTCGACCGGACGACGGACTCCGAGGCCCTCTTCAAGCTCAGCACCGGCCTCGCGCAAAGCTGGCTAGTTCCGAAGGGATGCCGGACGACTTTAGCAAAAAACAGAAGGGGTGCTCACAGACAATGCTGTTTACAATGCTTGCAAAACAAAGAACACTGTACAAAGCAGAGAAACACGCTGTGCTTGATCATTTTGCATCACAATTGACATCCCCACCAACACCCGCTCTCTAAAACACCAGGGTGCTCCTTTAGCCTCAAGATTTGCATTCCTCGGATTCATCGGCATGGGTGTCCTTATTTCTAGCTTGGCTTGATTAGAATTAGATGGGTTCCATTTGTTTAGTTTTTTTTTTTTTTAGCAGGGCCATGTTTTTACAAAATAACATTTGTGTTCATTGCGTTGTTTTATGGAAAAAAAACAACAACAAACACTGGGTTATTATTGTTTGTTTGTACAAACCCAGGGCTTGTACCAAAGGACAGTCATGTTTGTATTGTCAATACCCATGTGTTATGTTGTTTTGGTGTTCCTCCCATTTTAAAGACACATCGTACGAGGAATGGAAGGGAGCCGTCTGCTGCGCATGAGACCCATTTTCCATTGAACCCGTTCGCTGCAATCCATTTGAGCAGCGCCCGAAACCTCCTTGACCATCGTTGTAGGTGGTCCTGCCTGATTAAAATTAGAGTAAGGCCTTTATAAACACCCTTTGACCATGTTGGAACCATTTAAAGGTCAATGGATGAAACGGTGCTGCTCAATTGGTTTGGGATGGACACGTTTGTTTTCGCCAAGACGCAGCTTGTTGTGACTGGTAGGTCTTTTCAGTTGTTTGCTGGTATCTTAGTTATAGAAATACGCCCGCCAGAAGCAAGGATCTCAGCTGTAAACTTGCCCTGTTTGCTCGGTTTCTTAGAGAAGCGGGGACTACACACCTGTTTCAGCATATGGGCGTGTCGTTTTTTGGTTTCGGGGACCCCGAAACGACATGTGTGTGTTTCTGTTGGTTTGCCTCAGACACCACCAGCAAAGGGGTACCCTCAAAGACATACTACGCCAAAGCACGGTGGTGGGAACAACGGGTTTCTTTTGGCTTTTGTGACACAAGAAATCTCCCCCGTATGGGGAGTTAGTTTTTGGGAAGCCCTGCCCTGAACCCCCAAAAAAAAGAAAAAAAGCAGAAGAAAACAAACAAATGGTCCATTTGTTTGTTGGTTTGCCAAAAACGCCACCAGAAGATATTACCCTAAAGTGCTTTTTCAAGATTTGGTCGCCTGATGTGAAACCTCGCCTTGGAAAACCGTCTCCTTTCCTCGCCAGGCTGGGCGCAACGCTGTCGCGGGCACGTGGCGCACGCGTGGCCCGCCGCGCCAAGGACCGGGCCGTGGACACGAGTCGACCCTAGGAAACCCCGCGCAAACGTAAACAAACATGGGGGGCAGGGGGCTCGATCAAAAGGTCCGAGCAGGTTGGAGTCCGGTTGGAGAACCACGAAACAACATAATTTGATATTTCAACTACATAGGAAAAGTTACCCATGGTCAATTGGGGGCCGAACGGAATATTGATCAACCCAAAGGCTCATGACCCCTAAAATGCAGGGTCCCGGGCCCTGTAATGAAGAACCCGGACCCTTTTTTCTCAGGGGCCCTTGAAAACAACCAATAACAATCGGGAGCCTTAGGGAAGCTGTGTCTTTTGAGGGAACCTGAAAAGGGAAGCCCAAAGGAAGCGGTTGCCATGTTTTGGGAGGTGCCCAAACAACAAGACAGACCCACCCAGAAACCTGAACGACAAAGTTGATAAACCGCAAAGTGAGCAGAACCCTAAGAGCCTAAAAGCCCTAAAGCTGAAAGCCTAAAACACTAGCACCCTGAACAAACATACTGCAGAATGGACCTCGCGTCCACCATCGGGTCTCTTGTGCCCTGAGCAAGAAGCCCAAAGCCGAAACCACAAGACCTTGCAAGACAAGAGGCGTCCTGCCTCCACTCGTTGATGTGGATTTAGTTATTCTGTAATATGTGTTTTTTGCACCGGGGCAGAATCAGTCTGACCCAAAAAAGACACCCGTTTGAGTCCTTCTGCTAGATGTTCTTGTGGAAAGCACTGATGCATGAGAAAAAAGTTAAACTCAGTGGAAGCCATCTATGTTCAACCAACTGAGCTAGAAAGGACACCTAGTTGAACAATCGGTAGGCTGAACCTTTCTACAACCGTTTGTTCAACCTGTTTGGTGGTGACAGTTTGCTTCAACGTGCAGGCAGGGTGGAAGTTTCCACCTGCACTCGCGTGCGCAGAGGAACGCCCTTTTTCCCGAATGCGTTCCCGTTTATAAATGGAGGTCTGGGGGTGGAGGCCGTGTTCGCGAGGAGTTGCTCCAGAGTTCGCAACCGTCCGCAACCGTTCGCAGTGAGGCGATAAGCGTGTGCCATTGGGATTCGTCGTGGAAGCGTGTTTTTGATGGATCGCGGTGTGCATTTGGAGACAGAAGTGTCGTTCAGAAGTGTCGATCACAAGTGTGCATTAGAAGTGTCGTTCAGAAGCGTCAATCAGAAGTGTGGTTGCAGAAGTATCGCTCAAACTTGTCGCTCAGAAGTGTCAGTCAAAAGTGTTGCTCAGAAGTGTCGCTCAGAAGTGTCGAACAGAACTGTTGCTTGGAAGCTTCGATCAGAAGTGTGCTCAAAAGTGTTGCTCAGGGGTACCGCTCATTGCTCAGACGCTCAGAATTGTCGCTCAGGCAGCAGTGTTGCTGATTGTGTGTGGCTCAGACGTGTCGCTCAACGGCATTTTCAGAGTGTCGCTCAGGAGTGCCGCGCAGTGTTGCCCAGAAGTGTTGTTCAGAGGTGTCGCTCAGAAGTGTCGCTCAAAACCGTCGCTTACATGTGTGTGTGTGTGTGTTTGCTCAGAAGTGTTGCTCGGAAGTGCTGATCAGAAGCATCGGTCAGAAGTGTTGCTCAGAACAGTCGATCAGAGGTGTCGGTCAGGGGTGTCGATCAGCAGTGTCGAATCATAAGAAGAAAGAAGTGTTGCTCAAAAGCGTTGCTCGGAAGTGTCGGTCGGAAGTGTTGCTCAGCAGTGTGGATCAGAAGTGTTGACCAGAAGTGTCGATCAGAAGTGTCAATTGCTCAGAAGTGTTGATCAGAAGTGTTGCTCCCTCACAATTGTTGCGCAGAAGTGTCGCTCTGAAGTACTGATCGGAAGTGTGGATTATAGAAGCATCGCTCAGAAGTGTTGCTCAGAACTGTCGATCGTGGTGTCGGTCAGAGGTGCCGATCAGCAGTGTCGAATCAGCAGTGTTAATCTGAAGTGTGTGTCAGAAGTGTTGCTCAGAAGTGTTGCTCAGAAGTGTCGATCAGAAGTGTCGATCAGAAGTGTTGCTCGGAAGTGTCGCGCAGAAGTGTCAGTTTGAAGTGTTGCTCAGAAGTGTCGCTCAGAAAATTGATTTCAGCAGAATTGCTCAGACGTGCCGCTCAGAATTGCCGATGAGCAGTGTGGAGCAGAAGTGTTGACCAGATGCTCAGAACTGGCGATCAGAAGTGTCAATCAGAAGTGCGCATCAAAAGTGTTGCTCAGAAGTGTCGATCAGAAGTGTTGCTCGGAAGTGTCGCGCAGAAGTGTCAGCCTGAAGTGTTGCTCAGCAGTGTCGCGCAGAAGTGTCAACTCAGAAGTGTTGCTCAGAAGTGTCGCTCAGAAGTGTCGCTCAGAAGTGTCGATGAGCAGTGTGGATCAGAAGTGTTGGTCAGAAGTGTTGCTCAGAACTGTCGATGAGAAGTGTGGATCAGAAGTGTTGCTCATCAGTGTCAATCAGAAGTGTGGTTCAGCAGTGTTGCTCAAACTGTCGATCAGAAGTGTCAATCAGAAGTGCGGGTGAAAAGTGTTGCTCAGAAGCGTCGATCAGAAGTGCTGCTCAGAAAAGTCGATCAGAAGTGTTGCTCAGAAGTGTCGATCAGAAAAAGTGTGGTTCAGAAGTGTTGACCAGGTGTCGCTCAAAAGTGTCGCTCAGAAGTGTCAATCAGAAGTGTTGCTCAGAAAAGTGGATCAGATAAAGTGTCGCGCAGAAGTGTTGCTCAGAAGCGTCGATCAGAAAAAGTTTGGTTCAGAAGTGTTGGCCAGGTGTCGCTCAAAAGTGTCGCTCAGAAGTGTCAATCAGAAGCGTTGCTCAGAAAAGCCGATCAGAAAAAGTGTCGCTCAGAAGTGTTGCTCAGAAGTGTCGATCAGAAAAAGTGTGTTTCAGAAGTGTTGATCAGGTGTCGCTCAAAAGTGTCGCTCAGAAGTGTCAATCAGAAGTGTTGCTCAGAAAAGTTGATCAGAAAAAGTGTCGCGCAGAAGTGTTGCTCAGAAGCGTCGATCAGAAAAAGTGTGGTTCAGAAGTGTTGACCAGGTGTCGCTCAAAAGTGTCGCTCAGAAGTGTCAATGAGAAGTGTGGCTCGGAAGTGTTGCTCTTGATGAGAAGGGGTTCCTCAAAAGTGCCGATCAGCAGTGTTGATCAGAAGTGTTGCTCAGAAGTGTCGCTTGCAGGTGTTAATTCAGCAGTGTCGCGCAGAAGTGTCAACTCAGAAGTGTTGCTCAGAAGTGTCGCTCAGAAGTGTCGATGAGCAGTGTGGATGAGAAGTGTTGGTCAGAAGTGTTGCTCAGAGAACTGTCGATGAGAAGTGTGGATCAGAAGCGTTGCTCATCAGTGTCAATCAGAAGTGTGGTTCAGCAGTGTTGCTCAAACTGTCGTTCAGAAGTGTCCATCAGAAGTGCGGCTGTGCTCAGAAGCGTCGATCAGAAGTGTTGCGCAGAAAAGTCGATCAGAAAAAGTGTCGCTCAGAAGTGTTGCTCAGAAGTGTCGATCAGAAAAGTGTGGTTCAGAAGTGTGGATCAGGTGTCGCTCAAAAGTGTCGCTCAGACTTGTCAATCAGAAGTGTTGCTCAGAAAAGTCGATCAGAAAAAGTGTCGCTTAGAAGTGTCGATCAGCAAAAGTGTCGATCAGCAAAGGTGTGGTTCAGCAGTGTTGATCAGGTGTCGCTCAAAAGTGTCGCTCAGAAGTGTCAATCAGAAGTTGTGCTCAGAAGTGTCGCTCAGAAGTCTAGTACGGGCTGGAAAATCGCAACTTTGTAGTGCAAGTCTAGCACGAAGTACAGGTTTCTGGAAAATCACAACTTTCAAGTGCAAGTCTAGCACGAAGTACAGGTTTCCAGCTCCAGCTCGAATGTCGCAACTTTGTAGTACCAGTCTAACGCGCGAAGTACAGGCGTCCAGCTCCAGCTGGAAAATTGTGACTTTGTACAAGTCTAGTACGCGAAGCACAGGTGCGCGAAGTCCAGCTCTAGCCGGAAATCACAACCTTGTTGTACAAGCCTAGCGCACGAAGTACAGGTTTCCAGCTCTAGCTGGAAATCGTAACTTTGACAAGTCTAGTGCGCGAAGTACCGGTTTCCAGCTCCAGCTGGAAAATCGCGACTTTGTTGTACAAGTCTGGTACGCGAAGTACAGGTTTCTAGTAGTACAAGTCTAGTACGCGAAGTGCAGGCTTCTAGCTCTAGCTGGAAAATCACGACTTTGTAGTACAAGTCTAGTACGCAAAGCGCAGGCTTCCAGCTCTAGCTGGAAAATCGCAACTTTGTAGTACCAGCTCTAGCTGGAGAATCGCAACTTTGAAGTACAAGTCTAGTGCGCGAAGTGTGCAGGTGAAGTACAAGTTTCCAGCTCCGGCTGGAAGATCGCAACTTTGAAGTGCAAGTATAGTACGCGAAGTACAGGTTTTGAGCTCCAGCTCGAAAATCGCAACTTTGTAGTACAAGCCTAGCACGCAAAGTACAAGTTTTCAGCTCTAGCTTGACAATCGCAGCCTTGTAGCGCAAGTCTAGTGCGCGAAGTATCAGCTCCGGCTGGAGAATCGCAATTTTGTAGTAAAAAGGTGTCCAGCTCCAGATTGAAAACCGTAGCTTTGTAGCAACAAGTGGAGCACGCAAAGTACAGTTTTACAACCTGAAAAACATAGTTTGCACAGTAGGCTTGATTGCGAGCCGCATTGGCTTATACAGAAAAATGTTCTCTCTAATTATTTTCTTGGGCTTGCGCAAAGTGATACGCATTCGGGTTCGTGGGCTCTGTCTTGTTGTGTTCCACGCTGTGCGGTGGGAAAACCAACTCCGCTCTCGCGGGGTGAATAAAAACCTGATCTGCTTCGCACCAGCTAGTGGTGGGTTATCGCTGGGCTTCTGCCATCCCACCTGGTGCAGGAAACTCCCTTGATTTTTTTTTGGGAATGCCTTTAAGTGGGGTTCCCAAGTTCAACCGGGGTTGAGGACCTAGCAGGCAACCCATTCTTCCAATGAGCCAACGAAGAGAGTCGTCTTTCCCCAACATCGAGTGATGTTTACGCACATGCCGTGAGTGACTTTGTTTTGTCTGCTTAGAAACTTGTTGTCCATTTTTTTTGGAGGTTTCCTTTTAAAGTCAAGTACCCCAAGAGAAACATGCGCCGTTTTTGCCCATGGAGTTCCACTGGATTGAGGAACCAAGTTGCATAGAGTGTCCAGAATGCAGATTTCTTTCAGGATGTTGAGTTCATGCGATTATTTGCAGAGTATTTCTTAAATTGATCGATCCCGGCTGGCAACCGCTTTTGGGTCCCCTTCTATCGGGTTGCCACCTTTGAGGACCTTTGGAAGTGTGTCCTTAACTTGGCAAAGGACCCCTGGACGGCTAGAGGGAAACGAAAAGGGCGTGGAGCGATGTTTCGGGCTCCCCATTAAACACGCCGCCATTTGGGCATTTGGGGTTCACCAAAATCACGGGTCCACTAAAATGGTTGTTTGCTGTGGTTTCCGTTTGTTCAGTTTGAACACTGCCCAACCGGCAATTTCCACCAAAAACGCGAAGCACCCATTTGACAAGACCTTTTGGGTGGATCCAACCAAAGAACAACGCCAAAACGTGTACTCCTAATTTTATGGCAATTCTCATTTGAGGTCTGTCAGTATTGGGGATGGCCGCGGCCCAAGTTAAGCCACGTTCGCTTGTACCATTGTGTTTTTTGAGGTGTTGTCAATGGCCTGGAAGAGTACAACAGACCTCGTTTGGCCAGAGTTAGAGCTAGGCATCCTTTTGGAGAATGGCGTTTGGCTGAAGTCAAAGTTGGGATCCTGCGTTTCAAGGGGAATCTCGACATGTGCGCCCTTCGAGATTCAGAATCCCAGGCCTCCCGTGCCCTCTTGCTTGACTTTTTGGAGAAGTGTGTGTGTTTTGAAATCAATGACCGCAACCTCCATGTGCTGAAATATGTTTTTTGGGACTTGGATCCAAACAATCTTTGGTCGATTCAAACCCGAGGAGGAAAGGGTAGCCGCAAAACACACAAGTCGTGAAGAATGGGCCGTCTTTTCTATTCTATTCAAAAGCGCTGAATAAGGAGTGTGGTATCATTTGCAAGTACCCATCCCCAACTCCTTTACTTGGCTTTCGCAGCCCTCACAAACATTCCAGGTAAAAATCAACTATACACGCTTTTCCCTGGGGCAGGTGCGGAAAACAAACAAGAAACATGCCATCTGAACTTGATTCTTTGGGACGTGGGAAGAAGAGTGTCCCTTTAACGCCAGCAGACTGTTTTGGGTGATCAAGCTTTGCGCCCCTTCGCTGCCAGACCGCAGACAAGAGGCCGGGGGCTGTCGGCAGTTGGGGCGCAGGTTGCCAGGCATGTCGCTGGCCTTTTTGCCATGCGGGCTCTGCATTCCCAGTGCTCCCGGTTAAGGGCCTAAGCAATCTGAATGGCGTTGCGGGTTACTTGAAACTGCCGCTGATATTGTATACGTCAAAAGGACAAGATCTTGCACCAGCCGAGTGCCTTAATTATCCCATCCTACTGTATCCAATTACCACGCTGGTGAGCTATTGCAGGTGGGAACGATTCGCCACACACCCGCATAGGCGCCCAACGTGTTGGGTTGATGTTTGATGGGGGGGTTAGCTCGGACTGAGGCGCAGGCGCGAGGCTTTTGTGGTCTCAGGCTGCAGATGGCTGCTCTTCGGGAGCCGCGAGAAGCCAAGAGAGGTCTGCTGGTCAAAGTTGTGTTGGGCAAAACCCCTGTAGGCGCAGCATATTCTCGAGCACAAGCGCCGCAGCAAGCCTCTGGACGCGCGCGTGATGGGTCCGACCTTTTGAGAAGAGCTGGCTGCGTCAGCACTCCACGCACTTGGGCTGCTGCGGCGGGCTGTTTGAGAGCGGAGCTTTAATCTACAACTTTCATTTTCGCGTGCTTTCTTGCTCGCTCGCTGCGCGGGCGCTTGTCATACTGGTGTCTGACCACATTCTCGCGTTTCTGGCCAGTGATATGTCAATGTGTGGCTGTGTCTCGCAGTGCTTGACAGAAGTCAAAGATGTCGAACAGAACTACCCGCGCATATGCCTGCTAGAAGTCAGCGCAATCCAAACGGAAGCATCCCCCCAACCCCCCCCACATCACCGACACCCCCCCCCCCGTCTACCCAACATGTTGTAGCTACAAGTTCAGAGGGTGTCCGAACAAAAGAATAATAAGACACACACAAATCCCACACCTCTTCCGTTTGTTTGGCCCTACATTTTTGGGTGCATTCTTTGATCTGTCAAGCTTGCAGTTGTTCCTCACACACCAAAGTTGCTTGTTGGAAGGCCAGAGTCGCGCTCAAGATCAGCAGGAAAGTTCCGATCCACAACTCTTTGGGACGGCCTTTCTGATCGGTTTTTGTTTGTGGTTGCTTGTTTGTGCTCAATGTTTCAAAACTTCGACCTCTTCGAGGAAACAACCAGAAGATCAATTTGTTCTCAACTGGCCCAACTCAAGCCAACTAGCACATGCTACCATAATTTTCAGCAAGGCATTGCTAATCTGTTTGATCCAGCTGGGAAGAGTTTTGGGGAAATAATGCCATGCCGGATCTGGTGTCCAAAGCGTTCATCATTGGCATTTCAGAGTACGAATTCTGGCAAAGATTGCCAGGTGCTGAGAAGGATGCTGCGCATGGCTTGCATGTACTTTCTAAGGATCTCGGCGTGGAAACAAATACCACCACAACTTTGGTAGGGCAAGTCGACTCTTACTACCTGCACAGGGGCTTCGACAAAGTGGCAAAGGATCTGGAAACAGAAGAACATCTGCCAGAGTTCCCTGTCCTTCTGGGTCTTATCTCCTGCCATGCTGTGCAGAAGGGACAGCACCTGTTTCCTCACCTCATCCCGTCAGATGCACCGCAAGGGGAAGAAGCTTGGAATTTTGCATATGACGTGGAAACGCACTTCCTGGAGCGGCTGCGTGAACTGAAGTTCCGTTGCAAGAAGGTCAAAAAGCTTCGGGTCATTTTGGTCTTTGACTGTTGCCGGGAGGCTTTGCCAGATTCCCAGCATGCACCCAGAGGCTTACCCAACTATCGGAAATGGGTGACATCTTTGAAGCATGACTTCTATGTGATATTTTCCTGTGACCGAGGCAGTTCGTCCTTTGAAGATTCCAGTGGTGGCGCACTGTTGAGAGTGCTGCTACCATCCTTGAAGTATGCCAAGCCAATTCGTGACATTTTTCTGAATGCATCTTTGCAGGTTGGATGTCAAAGACCCAACCATTACGATCGTCCAGGTCTACCAATGCCTGTTCTAGGTTCTCAACGAGGTCAGCCAGATGATTGGAAACTGGATAGAGATGAGCCTGGTGATGATATGTCCCAAGTTGTGGTACTAGTGCTATCCGGAATTACCGGTCATGGAAAGAGCAGTTTGGGCAACACCCTCACCAACCAGCAGAAATTCATTGTGGGCCAAGGCCTGTGTTCTGAAACAAAATCTGCAGAGCATGTAGATCTGGAAGTGTGTGGCCGAACGTACCGCATCATCGACACCCCCGGATTCAATGACACATCTCTTTCCGCCGAAGAACATTGGACCAGGTTTGCTGAGTTTGCAGATCGTGCGCCGGCCGGGATTGACGCATTTCTGCATGTGGTGGAGTGGGGCAGGTTCAACGACGACACACTCAAGGCATTGAAGTGCCTTCAGGAAGTAGCTGGAGAGGGATGCAGTTCATATATTCTACTGGTGTTCTCCAAAGCCCCGCCGGACTTCCATCGCCAGGTTCCTGAGGCCAGCCACAAGAATCAATATTTAAAGCAGGCCCTTGAAACAGTGGCTGATTTCACAGGGGTGCAATGCAGTGTGAGATATGGCGAAGACAAGGAGGCGCATCAGAGGATCCTAGAGAAGGTGAAGTTGTTGATAGACAAGAACGGCAGGAAGCATAGCAACCAGCCGATCCAGCTTGCAAATGCCAACAGAAGAGAGTTGGTGGAAATCGTGAAGCTGTTGCATGGATCAGAGGCTCGGGAAGCTCGCGCAGTGATCCAGCAGGTCTACAATGGCAGTGTCAGTTCTTCGCAGGCTTTGGTAGATGCCAGAGACAAGTTGAGGCGTCAACAACTACACCGTGACCGTGACCCTTCGCCATTTCAAGGGGCACCATCGCAGATGGCCCCGGTGGCAGACAGTCATCAAGCCGTCAGCCAAGTTTTGAATGCAATGACGAGTGTTGGTGGAGTTGCTCAGGCCCGGGCAGATGAACAAGGCGACTTGCTACCCCAGCTGTTCGTTCGGGCATGGCATGGGGCCGTACATTTTGCGGGTGAACAGGTTGAGAAACAAAGTGAGAAGGAAGCGGAATCAGTTGAGAAGCTAACGGAGATGGGGTTTCCTGAGAACAATGCGCGCCTTGCGGTGAAGAATGCCAAAGGGAATTTTGACGTAGCCCTTGAAGGCCTTTTGAGCGAAAGCGCTCATTAGACCCCGCTGTGGCGCTTGAGGAAAATGTTTGCGCAAAGCACTGAAGAGACAATGCCGCTCTTTTGTGATGTCGACCTTCTGCAAAAACAGTCAGGTCAAGAATTCCAAGTTCAATCTGGCAACTGCCACGAGCCGATTCCTTGGGAGCCACCCCCAACTCGGAAAAACTCGGCAGGTTCCCGGTGCTGTCGCGCCGCGATGCCCCCAGCACGACCTTCCCCAAGCTGCCAGAGCCTGGGGACTCAACAGCTGGCTGTGGGGTTCTGTTGGCGCCTGGGGTCGTTGTTTTGACAGTTTTTGGGGCTTATCAAAATCAGCAAATGGGGTTGTTTCCCTCTAACCCACCACTTGGGTGGCTTTGATAATGAATATTGAGGCCAGGCCTGGGCCGCAAGCTGCATATGGGTGCGGCTCAAAATTTCAGATACTCCGTTTTTGGGTAATGACGACTTGTGTTTGGTTCACTTTGAAAGGGAATCTCGGGTGTAGGGGGGTACCAAGGTTTTGACCCAAAGCCATATAAAAGAGGGACACCACCCCATGATTGGGGCGATCACCGGTTTGCGGGTGCAAGTACCCCTTTTCTCACCTGTTTGGGCTTCTTTGGATCCACTCTTTGGGTAAGTTTGGGGGTTGGTTGAAATGGAAACCGAAAAAACACCAACCCTTTGCGGTTCCGAAGCCTTAGATTGAACCCATACCCATACACACCTGCTCAGTTTCTGGACGTCACAAAAAACGGTGTCGAAGTCTCTACAGACTTTACAAGGGGATTCTCTCTAGGATGGGTTCCAATTGCCCCCAAACCACTACCCCCACTGTAAATCGGGGTGTTTACCCTCGATCTATATCAGGGCCTTTGGTTGTATGTCGAATCAATGCCCTGGGCGGTTGGCTTTGCTGGAGGGTTGAACAGCATCTTGGTGCCTTGTTTTTGGAGTCGGTACCCCGTTCTTGTGGGTGGGTGCCCTAAAAGAATACACGGCCTCAGATGAGTCACATGCCCAAAGCTGATTTGTTAAAGCCTTTCGTGCTGCATGTGGTTTGGGGAGCAGCAATCCGCAGGTAAAACAAACTGAGTAAACCGCAATTAAGTTCCATTACTTGGCGATCCTTTACTTTTGTGTTTGGGTGTCTATTGCGGAGTTTGCAGATGTACTGTCATCTACTGTGGTAGAGGGATTGACATTTGGCATACTCACCTTGATACCAGCAAACAAAATGGGGTCACCAAAGTCCCGTGTCATTGGTGCCACGATGAATATCAATAAATATTGCCCGTGGCTCATGTGGGTTTCAAAGTGTCGGAGCAAGTGAAAGGTTTTTTAGTAGCTTCGCTTGCGAAGCACATCCACTGGGAAGTCCATGCTCAACTAGCTGATGCTGGGCTTAATACCGTTGTGTGGGGTACTCGAAACCAACAAAATCACAACAATTTGGGGGTTCCCAAATGTATTTTTGTTTTTCTTACATTCTGGAGATCAATCTTCGCGGGAAGCAAGACGGTTGACTCCCAGGAGTGTTTGGAATGGGTAAAGATGGCAAAATAAGGCACCCTTTACGCATGGGTTTCAGCTTCTCAACCAGGGTTGCACCCATAGCCCTTGGCGGCAATCCTCTTGTGTCACTGTGTCTAATGAGAGTTCCTCTTTTGGATTGGGTTGGTTGAAATGAACTAATACGGCAACCCAACCCTGAACTGGTGTTTAAACCAGTCTAGATTAGCTTGTGGTTCATGACCAAACCAAAGGAGGGCTCGGCAAAAAAACAAAGTCTCTTTCTGTTTGCGTTAGGCGATCTTTCGTTTGGTTGGTGTTCAAACAAAACTGACATGACTCCTATCTATGTTTAGTATGTTCCTTTGCATCTGTCCGATTTTCACATTGTGAGCATAGGCCCATATTCAGCATCATCCGCTGTAGTCATGGTGATAACACTGGATATACTCACATGATAGGAGAGAGTGGTTTTCCCTGGACATTTCCAGGCCATGTGGTGGGAACAACGAGTATTGACCGGAAGTCAAAAGGTTTTGAGCCTTGGAAGAAGCTGAAACCCATCCCGGTTGCTGTCGAACCTGAGATCGGTGCACCCCGGGGTGGTGTCCGGACAGGCGCCATATGGGTCTCGGTGTCCCTGCTTTTGCTGGGGATTGATCAATTAATGAACGGTTTATTAATGCGGGGTCAACATGATTTGGCAACGGATCTTTGGACTTGAAGCATTCTTGGCTGAAACTGGGCTTTAACTTTTCGGTTTGTGACTTGTTGGTTGAAACCTTAAGTTTATGGTCGGATTTTCCCTTGGGACTCCGCACAAAGGTACAGGTTAAGCCATTTATTCTGCACAGGGCTCGTCGGCAATCGAGAGGTGCCCACAAAGAAGGAGCCCCGGAAGAAATCCCTACCTTAGGGGTGGTGCCACCCAAGAGAAGTGATTATGACTTTCATTTTTTTTCCGGGGGCAAACCCCTTCTGCTGCAGTCAGCCAAGGGTGTGCATGAAGAAAACCTGCGATTCGCACGTAGCTGGGATGGATGGCTCTTTCCAGTTGGGTGATATCCATTCTAGGTGCAAAGTGGATTTTGTCTATCCACATTGTGGCAGAGAAGCAAAGGGAAACGAAGGAAATACGGAAATACGGAATGGCCCGCAAATACGCCAGACATAGGTGGTAAGAGCATCCAGTCGCTTCATTCCGAGTTCCATTGTCCAACTATTCTCTGCAGTGGTTAGCAGCTCTTGTTGCAAGCGATGCCGCGGACTTGTAACAGATGGGTGGCAACGAGAAGCACGACCTTCCCACCACATGACTTGGTGCACTGCCCAGAATGGGGGTTTGTGCACTAAATGTTTCAGTGAACCTCACAACGGTTCACGAGTCTTTGCCCATCCTGGGACAGCCCTCGGGTGCAAAAGAGAGAGGCAGATATTTGCCGTATTTGTATTGGTAATAAGCAAGTGCTTGCATTGGTCCGTGTTCCTGAGTGGGCTAGGCAATCACCTGACAAAAGGGCGCAACAGCCAGCGCGCATGTGTCCGGGTCATTGGGGAACGGCACGACAACTTGAAAAATACCGAGGCAGAAAGAGAGTAACTAAAAGCTTGTTTGCCCTGAAATGCACTCAAATACCGCACATGACAATTCATAATCATAAGGACTGAAGCAGCCAAGTTAAGAGCGAATAAGTCAAACAAAACAGGAAGAATACATATATTTGAGAAATCGGTATTTTGAAGATTCGCCAACCAGATCCGACAGGCTCTCTGACTGACACCGACTATCGCCTTACGAGAAGTTCGGCTTGCCTTGGGGCCTGCTTCATCTAGACACAGTCTAAACGCCCGGGGTGCACAAGCCGGTTGCAAGCTGGACAGCAGCAGTGGCTAAGGGGTGTTGCCAGAAGTGTGGGTGATTCGTTTATTTTGAGGCTGGAGTTCCTGAAAATGGGAAATGTAGCGCAAGTCGATTTTGGAAGACGGGGACCCTGCAAACCACCCTTCCAATGCTCAACCCCAAACGTTTTTGGGTAGTGCCTTGATCTGCCAGAGACGAAAGCCAAGCAAAACGGCGGCCAGGAAAGCTGGCAAACATGTTGCCTCCTGGGTTGCGGTTTTGAAGAGGTCTTTGGGTCGCAAATGAATTCATGTTTTGTTCACTTTCTCTTGACACGTTGTCAGTATTGTTGTTGGGCCCTATTTGGTTTCGGGGAGGGCGCATGTGGGTTTGACATGTTCGGTTGCTCCGAATTCTGCGAGAAGAGTTCAGACGTAGGCGTTCCGTTCTCCGGGTGCTGGCAAGTAGCCAGTCGGTGTCCGTTTTTTCTCCCGCAGATTAACCATGAACCCCCCTCCCAAACAAGAACATTTTGAAAAAGAAACTCGTGGACTTTTCGGGGGGTTTACGTTGATTTTTCTCTTGAGTCGTCCTTAAAGGGTGCTTCTCTTGGAACCCAAACTGAACCGGAAGCGCGCGCTAGGCCTTGAGGGACCTGCTGGACCACGCCAAGGAGAACGGCTACGCCATCCCAGCAGTGAACTGCCGGAGTCACAGGGCTGATGCTCCAGACACCGAGTACCTGGCTGTGGGTCAAAACCAATGGCACCATTTTGGGGTAGGTGCGCCACCCATTTTAGTATATTTTAGTGGGGATTGGGATGTTCTCTGGGGGTACAGGATTTTGACCCATGGCCACCTGTTCCACCTTTTGTTCACGTGGGGGTCCGGTTGACCAAAAGATCCTTTACAGTACCTGGGCTGGAAACCACTAAACAAGATTGGACTTTCGGCACTAAATGGGAGAAGTTACCCATGGTCGTTTGCTGGGGCATGAATATTGATCAACCCCTACTTCCTGAGTTCCGTTTCGGACTTTCTACTCTTTGGGTTCAGTTCATTTTAGTTGCGAGCAAACAGTTTGTGGCCAATTCAACAGCTGAAAGCTTAAGTGTCTCTGCCCAAATCGTGGTGATTTGGGTGGCTGCATCCCAGTCTGTGAGAATCGTTCTCTGAAACATGTGGGTATGGGACAAAATTACACCACCAGGGGACCGCAGGTTTTGGTCCATGTTTCCACTTACCAGGGTTCCATTTTGGGTACATATTTTTGACCCACAGCCATGTCCAGTTTTTTCTTCGTCAAGTCGGGTTTGGGACGAATAACATGGACTCGCGACGTGTGCTGCGGGTACGCTGGCTCGGCATATTGGGCCGCTAGGCCTCAGGTCCCAGGCTCAGTCCCATGCCCCAGGGTGAGTTAAGGGTCTTTTTGGCCATGCCAAACAGTAAGCAACACTCTCTAAGTGATCAAGTAGTGGCGGATGGATTTGAATCACGATAGCGTAGCAAGGATTCGGCAAGGCAATTATTTTCAAGACTGACCGGGACTGTATTTCCTACGGTTAGAGCCATGGTTAAAGCCACCTGAAAGGATCCTATAGACGCTATCACAAGATCCAATCCCCTGATGGCCCGCAAGTTTCCCAAGAAAAGATCCTACTCTTACCCTTTTGCTTTGGGATAGGTTAAGTATGTGCATGGAGGAGGATAAGGAATTCGATCCAGCTTGCAAACCCAAACGAACCCTTTGCTTCCCCACCCACTGGCTTCTGCAGGCTGGATCCGATTTAGAGCTTACTCTCCTCATAAACGGAAGGCACCCAACACCGTGTCAGGTTTCTGAGGGATCTCCTTTTCGGCGTGCACCCGTTTTTTTTTGGGTCCATCAAAGCACTGCAAGTGTTACACGCCGGGTGACCCAGGCGTGTCCTCTTCATCCATCAATGCATGCATCGAGGCTGACTTCGGGGCGCGCGCCAGTGGCCGGGCGAGTGTCTCGAAATAGGGGTACCCGACAAACTAGGTCCCCCAGGATCGTGCCCTTCTCTCCCCTCTTTTTGGGGGAGCCCCTACTAAAATAGACTACAGAAAAAAGGGCACCCTTATTCTAAGCTCTCTACTGGAGGACCTATCAAATCGTGGCGTTCCGTCTGGTTTCCCTTTCAAGCAGCCCAAAAGAGGCACCCGGGTACCCGACACTCACATGTGCTGTGAAGATCAGTTCTCATCGGCTCGGCTCAGGCGAGTTTCCCTGTCCCTTGAAAACCTGCCAAAAGGGGGCGCAGCTCCAACGGCTCTCACCATGGTTTCCGACCCTTTGGTGAGTTCAGGAGCCATTCAACAGCCCGATGGTGCTGGCAACCCAGGAACTTCTCCTGGAAGTTGGCTATTTTTTTTTCGGGATGGGTTCTTAGTTGGGATGATGCTTGATTGGTTGTGTCTCCCAATGCTTCCAGTTACCACTGCAGTATACTCAGTATAAGTAACAAGGGTTTGTCTTATCTCTAAGTTCTGCATCATGGTTTCCCCTGGTTGCCCCCTATTCTGGCACCGGCTTCGGTTCACGAAGTGCGTAATTTCGAGTTGGAAGGTTTGGATCCAGGAAGTTCCATGTTAAACGCCCATTAGACAGAAAGCGTTGCGAAACGTTGGTTGCAGGTAAAAAGATCAACCGCCGACCGGGCAAAATATGAGCTATGGTCTTAATAGGCATTGTGTCCCTGAGCAACACGGAAAGTTGGTGAGTTACCCGTGCCCCAATGTCACCCTTTGCAACAGTACATTGCAGTAAACATTGAACGCTGCTCATGCAACGGCCCGTGCAAACTGACACTGTAGGCCAAGTCAAAAAAGAGATGCAATTGCATGTGTGTGTGTGTGTGCGTGCGTGCGTGCGTGCGTGCGTGCTTTTTCAAGGTCATATTTTCGGGGGTAGTAAAGGGAAACCAAAAGGAGAACCACCATCGGGGTCCCCCTGTTTTGTCACAGATCCGGGCCCAATAGGCGTTCACGTGGTTGCTCTTCAATTCTCACCAATCATTCCCAACGAGGGGCCTGAGGCAAAGTGGTTCTGACCCACGGCCTCCCACAACGAATTCGCGGGCGCGCTGCCATTGCGCCACGGTTTTCGATTCATAGGCGTTCTGGAGCTCATGCGTAAGTAGCAAGCCCCAAATTTCACTCGCAGCTCCCATCCTGTCGGCAGGCGGCCAGGAAAATGGATGTGCAATCCCCAGCGTCGTTTGTCAGTAAGCCAGGCTTGGTTGCGACATGTGTTTACTCTGTGAAGGGAAACTAAAAAAAGCTGTTGATACAAGAGTGGTTTAAACACAGGGTTTCTATGTATAGGCGATCCAAAGGATGTAAAGGATGGTGTGTGCGTGTGTCCTTTTGAATATATGGGTGTGTCTTCTGTTGGGGGAACCTCTTTGGGGTGGTCTTAGAGGAGAACCACGTAGAAACAACCTATTTTGAGGGTCCTCTACCTTTTGTAATAGACAAACCCACACATTCTCCCTTCTGTGTGGAAGGCTTCACGCAATCCTTCGGGCCATCAAAATGAGCTGTCTATGGCTACATTGAGAGGAACATGGGAATTGGACGGAGCCCAAACAAACCCACAGACGCTGGGGGAAGGAATCCGAGCATATCCTTCATGGTTTTTGAGTACCTTGGATTGAACCTGGGGGGTTACTCCGAAATAACTGCGCAGATCAACTTGCCGAAGCAACCACTCTGGCTCTAGGAATTGTCTTTGTGGGGAGAAGACATTGAACCGTGACAGCGGATCATGCTTGAGGCCTGTTCCGTTTGGCATGTAGTCCAGGCACGACAAAGGCTGAAAAGCATTGGGCTCCATTTCAACTCGCAGGGAAGTATGCATCTCGTGCTTTCTAAAACCCCTAAGGCTCACCCCTAAAAGGCAGGCCCCCGGGCCCCCGGGCCGCTTTTGTAGACCCCGGGCCCATTTCTCAGGGCCCCTGGGGGAGCCTTGGGAGTGAAAGGGATCAGCCTGGGCCATGGTCGCGAGGATTCTGGGCCACGGGTCTGTAGACTGTAACTGTTTGGTTGAAATCCGGTTGGGCTTTCCACTAAACCCCCAAAAAAGGTTTTCAACTTTTTGCAGGGGGGGCCAACAGCAACCAAGTGGTTGAGTGTCTTTGGGCGGAGGGTAGCCCACGGAATTGAAAAGAGAGGCCGCCGGTTTCAAAGGCTTCATCACGTTTTCGCCTGCGGATTATTACTCTCGCCTTGTTTTTTTGTTGTTGGGGTGTCGGTCATCCGAAGGAAGGTTGGAGCCATGCGTTTTCAAGGTGTGCAACAACTATGCTTCGGGGTTGTCCTGTTGAGACACTGCGGATGAAGCATTGCCAGACTCAACGAACCTTTATGCCCTCCTGCCCTGGTGGGTCGCCTTCATTATTTCCGTTCACTCGGCACACCGCTAACTTTTCGCAAGGGGGCCCTTTGTCGGCCTCAGCAACGAACCAAAACACATCCTGTGATTTTGGGGATACGTTTGGGAGTCCAGCGTCAAGAAAGGACTCCAAGTGGAGGATTCCGCATGGAAGTGTGTCGATAGCTGTTCTTAACCAAAAAACATCGCCAGATCACGGGATCTCAACCCGAGAAGAGCGCTGGTAGGAAACCGGACACCCTCTTTTCTCTTGGCTCCCGCATAACTTTCCACTGGCTTGTGTGGTTAGTCTTCTTGAAAGGGGACAACTCTGGGTATGGATATGCGGATTTGTACTTAAAAACCGGACCCGCTGCAATCACAGGTGAGACACCCAAATTGCTTTGTAGATGCATGTTTTGCCTTAGCGGCCGTAGCTGAGTTCGCACCACTGAAGCTTTGTGTTGGCTCAAGAGCCACCAGAGCTGTTAGTTATCATTACAGTAGCCAGGGAAACCATCCTCCAACACCTAGTAGCCTAGAGATACTTGCAGCCCTGGTTTGCTGGGACCCGTTTCTTCAGAAAACCATTCCCCTAAACCTTGTGCCTCGGTGTTGGGGCCCTTGGAAGATGACCAACATGGAACCATATCCAACAAGCACCACTCCTTGGCAAAGGCTTGGCGTAGTTTTGTATTTTCGGGTATGGAGTGCCATGATATCTTATGGGGTTTGGTTGTGCTTGACCAGAATCTAAGGTGAATCCATTCAAGAAGCGGGGCTAGCATGAAGTGCTGGTCGGCCCTGTTTGACCCCTTTCAACAGGCAAACTCAAGGGCACTGGCAACAGTCCAAAATCGGAGCTTGCTTCTTTTGAACGAGGATGGGCATCTGTGCAAGTGGTTGTGCTTGAAGATTTTAGTGGGCGTTGGAGGTTCATGACGAAGGTGCTTGGGCGTGCAACCCGCGGCGTTCAACCCATCCACAATTATTGCTTGAGTATTCGTGCAACTTGCGTAGATAAGGTTGAACAAGACCGGTGTTTTCAGGTGGTTTCCTTTAAAACCAACCCCCACCAGGTACCCTTTTGCAAAACACACACTCAACTTGGTTGCTCCCAGCCATCCCCATAGCCTTTTAGCCTTTTAGTGTTGAGTAGTAGTTTCCATTTAACCCACTAAAAGTTAAACTTTTAGCGGGGGATCTGAGGGCAGCCCAGTCAAGTAGAGTGACTTCTGAGGCCCCCATCATGATCCAGTTCTCCTCCGGCGGGTCCCAGCCAGATACCCAGCTGCTGAAAGCATCTGAGAGCGAAGCATCGCATCCATTCTTCCATGTTTTGAGTACTCTGAGGTAGACGCAAGCCCAGGGGTGGTTGATCTGCAAAGGGGGACTCTTGGATTTACGTCTGGGTGAAGACATCGGCGGGCAAATATCGCGACCATCCAGTACTCCAAAGGCTGGTTTTTCCATATCCAGTCCCTGGGATGCTTGTTGGGAATTCTTCTCGGGGATTTGAACATGTTTCGGGGTGGCAGGTCCGTTTCGAAGGGAGTTTCCCTTTTTTCAGGTTGAATTGCAACTCGCTTCGGGTTAAATCTGCCCAGAACCGCCCGGCTGTCCTTGACGCTGGAAGCAGCGGATATTGGAGGAAACAGCGGCAAAGCCAAGATCAAAAGGAGTTTGTGCCAACTAAAGAGAAACTTGAGGCCTCGCAAGAGTTTGGATTCTGGGATCTTTGCCCCTATAACAAGGGTTGATATCTTCATGTTGTGCCCTTCTCGATGGTTGAAGCATCACTTACCCAAATCAACAATGACCTGAGAGTAACTCGAGCTGAAGATGTTGCAGTTAGTGATAGTGTGTTATTCAATCGTTGCTTTTGTTTTTGGTCGAGGGGTTAACAGCTCAGTTTCAGTGGTTGACTGCCAAAGTGGTATTCCACAACAGAAACGGATCGCGCTGGTATTTCACAAATTCGGATTCCAAGCCCTGCCTTCTGGTTTCCCACAGTAACGATCTTATCAACATCTGGTTTGGAGGAAGGGTGTTGGCTTGGGTTGGGTGAGGCGCTTTGGGATCCTAAGATATCATGGGTTGGTGTCCGCTGTGTCCACTTTGATTTGTAGACGATTTATATCTTCATGGGCAAGAGTGGTGTGGCTTCGATATATAGTGTCCTGGGGCTCAAAAGGGCATAACGCTCAAAAGCATGACCAGGCCACAAGGCAGAATCAACAAATTGGCATTGCATGGTTGTAGTTGGGAAACATTTCACATCTTTGCTTACTGTGGTTTAGTGGTTGAAATCCAACCACTTAACTGCTGAAGTTTAATTGTTTGCTCCCCGAACCCAACGTCAAAATTGGGTCCCTGTGTTTGGGGCTCAACGGTTCCTTTCCAGGGACCACGTGTTTTACGTTTCCAGGTACGGGTGACCCACTTCTCTACCTTCGGGTCGGATGGGAGCGGTGAGAGCTCTTTGTGCTTTGCTCCGGTCAGTTACTGGTTCAACAGCTTCCTTTGGACGCTAAACTGCCCATGCCTTTCAGAACTTCCCGAAAAACCAAGCAAATGCGGATTTGCATACTTGGTCAGTTTTTCCAGACCTGCGTAGCACCCAGTTTGGTTTTCTTGGACGTGTTGTTTTGTCCTACGTTTCCAGGATAGTGGAAGAGGGCCTTTGTTTCTCCATTTAGCTCAAGTTGGATACGGTCACTGGATTTGATTCGTACACCCCTCACATGGCTCTCGAGAGCCAACTTCGCGAACTGGGGTTTCAGCACGGAAAAATGGCTTGAGCTTACCTTGAGCTCAAGCCCATGATGACATGATCTATCTGTTGGTTGGAAGGGAGCCGGACGACGGGAGCTGGAGGTATCCTTAAATTTGCTTCTAAACAGAGAGTCTTTCGGAGCTACCAGGAGGTTTGTAAGGACATGGTAGTGATTGCTTTGACTTATGATTTCCTCATCTAAGATTGGCGAATACTCAGCGCTCTGGAAAGCAGTTCCTATTTGGTTGTGGTACCAACGTGTTTCAAATAGAAAAGCCCACCAACTTCGCCCATGAAGTAAGTAACACATGATATTCACAAGAGTGTGTGATGTTTGGTTGGCACAACCAAATGGAGGCGTTTGGGACCCCGCTCAAGGGACATTAATCATATATGGAGGGTGGGCGCGTGGCCGTTTCCCCGAGTGGTTGCGCCTTTTGCCTTTCGGGGTTTTCTCGTTCCGGTTTAAGCCAGCTTGCTTGCAGGGGATCCAAACCAAAGGCTGGTTCGTCAAAAAGGACGTGGTTCGTCCATAGCCTCGAAGATGGCAACAGGCTCGGGGACAACACGTCTGTGATGGTATTTTGGTTGAGCCAGAAGCGTCATGTTGACACCATATCAATCACCCCCAGTTTCTTAATAGGGCTCCCGGTGTCCTTGGGTGAAATGTGGGAAATCAGACCACTTTCCCCCACCCCCCTATTAAACTGGTTGGTTGATTGATATGGAGTCAACATTACCGTGCGAGGTTCTATGCGGGCAAGGGCTTGGACAACACCGAGTTCCATGCGGCCATCGCCGGCGCTGTCTCTGGAGCGTGCCCACAAGCGAAGCGAAAGCCCAAATTTCACGAGTCCTTGGCACGAGAATGCGGGACATCCAACCGCTTTCTGTTTTTTGTTTTTTGTTTTTTGGTATGCGTGTTTGCTTTTTTTGTCTTCCTGTTCTGCTTTTCTGCTTTCTTTTTTTGTTTGTTTGTATGTGTCCTTTCCTTGTTGTGTTTGTGTGTTTTATGCTTTCGTAGTTTTTCTGCTTTCTTGGTTGATTTTGCCATCCTGATTGTTGTGTGTCTGGTTTGGCGTTTCTTTGTTTTTCTTTACGCTTTCCAGCGGTGACCTCGAGACAAAGCTTGGGGCCTGTGGCTATCAAGTGGTCCTCTTTTTGGTTGTGGCGACTGAGCGTGCGGCTTCCAATGACCAAGCGGGCGACTTTTACCACCTGTGACATGCAACCGGTGATTGCCAATGCAACCGTGAGCGTCTTCCAAACAAGCTTTGGTCGGCAAGAACAACAAATCAGGATCCATCCCTGCTGGTCGGCCCGTGCCACAGTTCTGAGGCAATCCCGCTGCCAGAGTCGCCACAGGTTCCAACTCAAAAACCAAGCAAACCTGGGGGGGGGGGGTTCGATCAAAAGGTCCGAACATGGGATGGCCGTTTGTTGGAAAACCACGAGAAAAAATAACATGATACTTCAATTACATGGGAAGAGTTGCCCATGGTTAATTGGGGGCCGAAGGGGGGCGAAGCCGGGGACGACGTGAGGTACCACGTGCGTGCCGTGGCCGAGCAGTACGGCGTGCCGGTGATCCTGCACACGGAGAGAAGTTTGTTTCCATGCTGAAAGTCCCGAAGCTCAAACCTAGACCTTTTTTTTTTCCAGAGGGGGTTCCTTCAAAAGTCGACTACCAAACAAAGACTGAGGGCTATGATCGGTACCGATACCTTCAGTTTGGCAAGGCTACCAAGCCTTGCAATTCCAAGTACAGCAGGGCCTCACTTGCCCCCTTTTGTTTCTTCCTCAGAACAGGGGCAGTGAAGCGTTTCCACACCATTTGAAGACGATCAACACGAAGCATGTTTCGTCGCTTGCAGTCCAGGTGCATGAAAACGTAATTAGAGACCAGCGAAGAGTTGACTTTTTGCGGGTCTTTGCACATGGTCAATGCCGAGTGATACCAAAGAAAGAGTGCCCCTTTTTTCCAGCGGCCACTGGAGGCTTGAGACAATACGTGGTCTTGAGAGCAGGCACCAAAGAGCTGCCCTCAACGTATCTACATGCTTCCGGGTGCAAAAGTAGGCGTCCAGTTGCAGAGATACAGTGGAAAGGCGAGTATCTCTTTGGGATAACCCTTGTTTGTAAGGATCAAATTTTGAGGAAACAGGAGGAGGCCGGGGAGGGGGTTGAATCCTTTTACGGGACGCTCAGTGCAGATCGTAGGGGTCCCCTTCAAGGATTCGCTTGAATTGGGGTACCCTTCAAAAATTGTAGTTTCCTTTGAGGTGTCCCTTGAAGCCCAACCCCCGAAAGGTTCCATACCGTGGATGGACGAAAATGGACGAAATCCATTTCGCACCATTCAGAAACCCTGGTGTTTGATTCGATTCCCCAATTCATGCCAAAGTTATGGTTACAACCATGGTTTCTTTTCGTGGTGCGAATTGGATATTCCCGACTTATTTGGGCTCTGTTTTTTGAGGGTACCTATTGTTTTGGTTTCAAAGGGAAGCCAAAAAGGAAACTGTTGCCCTTTTATTTTTGGTGGTCCAACCTTTCAAACGACACACCCATCTGACCAAACTGAAAACAAAAACGCCCTTCCATTTTTGCTGGTCCAATCTTTCACAAGACGCACAGAGAATAGATGTGTCTCATTTCTGGTGGTCCAATCTTCAATCCGACACCTATCTGAACAAGCATATTAGACGCCTTTCAATTTTTGCTGGTCAAATCTTTCACAAGACACATCCAACTCCCCACCTGGGTAGGACGCCTTTCCATTTTTGTTGCTCCAACCTCTAGACACGACACACATCTAACTCCGCAAGCGAGAGGCGAGAGGCACACGTCATGCCGGCCGCCAGCCTCCAGCGGCCTGGGTAGGACCACTGCGCCAAGAACCTGCTGCCCTGGTTCGACGGTCTGCTGGAAGCCGATGCCTTCGACTCAGCTTCGATTGGAAGTCGATTCGAGTGGCGTTTGGGAAGCACGGGGAGCTTCCACGCGGTAAAGGGAATCTAATAATCACTAACGGACATGTTTTTCTTGTTTTTACCTTTTTTGTTGTGTTTCTCTTGTTGGCTTTACAGGGAATCTATCACCAGTGGACTTTTTTTTCAGGGGGCTGCAGGAAAAGGAAGGAAGTGACACGCCATTATAGACGTTAACTTTAACTTACACTTGTACCTGGTTGGATCTTTAGACATCTTTTAGGTTGAACTCGAGTGGGTTTCCAAAATTGAAGCCACAGAGTGAGGCACTCTTTGCAGAGGTGTTGTGGAACCAACTACTTCACCTTAACCCTTGGCTTGGTCCTAAGGTACCCTTCCCACTTGGCTTCAAAGGAGCTAGGCATACCCTTCCCTACTCAAGTTGGAAGCAAAACTGGCAAAGGGCTGGTCAAGATTGGTTGGAGATGCCAGGTTTTGTCGCCATAGTGGCAACACATAAAGCCTAAAAGGGCGTTCTTGGGCTCCACTCAGGTGAGGCCAGTACCCCACAGGAATTGGTCTATGTCCAAAACCAGAGGTGCCGTCCAAGTCGTTGTAAGGGGGGGAGGTAATTAGTATACACCATGCCTCACAGTGATCGCAGGACTTCGGCTTGTTCCCACAACATTCGAAAGAAATGACCTGCTGAGAGCCGACAGATTCCGGGAGGGGTTTTTCAGACTCTGGCAAGGCCCATTTTGCTTGCCTGTTGATGAACAGGAACCCAGGATGAACCTCTGGTGGATTTGGCAATGTGTTGTTCAAAGGTTAGAATGCCGAAACGAGTGTGCAACCAGGCAACTTGGGAGCTGCCAGGGGCACTTTTTGCCCTAAACATGTAAGCACTAGATTTGCAGAGCACTAGGTACAGTGGATGGACGAAATCCATTTCGCACCACTTTGAATCCATGGTTAAAACCATTAGTTGTTGGTATTTACAGGTGAATCATCAGAAACCAGGGTTTCTTAGGTGGTGCGAAATGGATTTCGCAACCATCCACAGTATGAATCTCCACCAGGCAAGGCAAATTTTGGGGGTCCACTCCTCCCCCCCGCCCAGGGACGGGGATTGCCCTAAACATGTAAACACTAAATTTGCAGAGCACTAAGTATGTATGCACCCTACTGATCCGTTGTTTTTCAAAAGCCGCCTATAGCAGCTACTTGTTTCTATTTGTCAAGGGTGCAGAACGTGTCTTTTTTTTTTCCGAAAGGATCACCTTGTGAAGTTTCATGTTGCCACTCAATTGGAGTAATCTTGAGAGGAAGTTAGGCGTTTGTCCAACAAAACATGTTGAAGGCCTGCCCCCTGAGCCTCTTGAAGCCTGCTTTGCGGAACAGGTCGGTCGCAGAGCAACCGACTAAAAAATCCTGGGAGGCCATTGGCCTGGGGAGGAGGGCGCCCATGGGAACTTCCCACAGAAACGCCGGTGGGCCCACCCATTCTTTGGTGCATTTTGCTTGGCTGTTAGGACTTTAACTCTTTGCCAACTAATGGGTTTTCTACTAAACCACTAAAAGTTAGACTTTTAGAGCAGAAAGCAACCGAGCATTTTTTCCTCTGCCCTCGTGGGGAAACAACTGCTATTTTGTCCGCCCAGATGGCAAGCCGACTGAGGAGCGGTACTTTGAGAAGCACGGTGAGCCGTTGTTCTCCTCCCACATGCTGGACCTGTCTGAGGAGTTGATCTGCCAGTCGTGTTCCGGGGTGGTGTCTTTCGGTTTTTTCGTTGCTTTCCGTTTGAAGCAACCATTGAGGGGACGTCAAACAGGGACCCAACTGACCCAAACTACATGTCCCGCTTTTTTCATAGGCGGCTACGGATTGTTTTAAGATAATATACTCAGTTGTTTTTTAGGTGGTGCGAAATGGATTTCGTCCACACACAGTAGGGGGTCCTTTTGGATTGCCATCAAACCTTAGCCTGAAAAGGACACCCTCCAAAAAAGCCCAAACCAAATAAGCGGACTTTCCCGAACGGCGGCAGGGTGTGGCCTGCCTGAAAAGATGACAATGTATCCTTTGGTATTCTCACTTGTTCAGTGACCTGTAAAAAAGGGACCCTTTTTGGGGGAGAACCATTTTTAGTGGGGCAGCCACCAAAAACAAAGGGAAAAAGGGTGCCATTGAACATTCACCTGTAAATACCAACAAACATTTTGCAAGGATTCAAAGCGGTGCAGGATTTCGTCCATCCACAGTATTTTGCCGCATAGCCACGTATCACCGAGTTGCCTTCTCATAGTGTGTTGAAATGGAACTTATCAGGATCCTTGTGTTCCCCCGTGAGGTACCACTACTCTTTTATTTGTGTAGTCAGGGCTGGGATGTGTCTAAGCTCCCTCGAACAACACTGGGAAGCAATGGGTCGGCAGAGGTAAATGCCCCTGGCACTGTGCAAGGCCCTTTTTTGTTCCGGGGTGGCCCCTGATTTCCGATTAGTGAGATTGTGGCGAGGTTGTAGATACGAGGGAACCTTGATTGCAAACACTGTGAAGCACTGGGATATTCGGTGAGAAACTTATGTTGACGTTTGGCTTCGGAAGACGATGGCTTTGTGGCTCCGGCAGACTAGACCATCCTTTGCGTGGCTTCCAAGACCGCCGGAACTGGAACAGATGAGCCGCGGACTTTCAGATCTATCAGAAATCCGGGCACATCAGAAAATAAGCTCAGCGATTTGGGTGGAAGTGGAGTTTCACTTTCCAAAACCAGCTGTTTCCCCTGGGGTTCTGATGGTTTTCGGGAAAGAAGGATCCCTGGAAAGAATGGGGAAGTGTCCCCTGGATGAATGGTGGTTCGCCTATTAACCGTTTGGGAATCGCAGTATGCTCAGATGAGGAGGTCTGTTCCTTGGGCAGCGTGCAGGAAAACTCTAGGCTGAATCACCCGCGGAGCTTTTAGATGGATTTGGCGGAGTTTTGTTAGGGAAGCACCTCCAAAGTGGTTGGTGGTTTCAATCTGTGGATGGACGGAATTCTGCACCGCTTTGAAGCTTCATGGGACACCATTGGTTTCTTGGAATTTGCAGTGGTGAATCATCCTTGCAGAGTTTCTTTGGTGATGCAGCCCCAGCTAAATCATGTCCACCCAAGGGTTCCGCAAATAACAAATCATGCCCATGGGCTTAACGGCTGCTTCTCAGGAGCCGTTGGAGGAGAACATCGAGCTGTGCGCCGGGGCGCCCAGGGCCTGCGGCAGACCCCACCTCCTTGGCGCTCGATATGAGGAGAGACGTTCGGACCCACCGGCCCCAGCCTTCCTGGGGGCTGAGGGTTTCTTTGCTTTCCTCCCCAATCAAGCAAAGGTGTACTGCTCAGCCCATGTCTCATGGGGCTTGGCCTATGCTTTGAAGAGACGGATTGAAGAACGGGGGCAAGGAGGATACAAGGGGCCAATAGCTACAAGAATTCTGCTTCCACAATCATGGAATCATTGGCTGAATAGTTCCCCGCAACCCCTTCCAATACAGCAGGCCCTTCTAGGCCCTCATAGTAAATTGTTTCCCCTGCACAAATTGGCGAAACGAACGTTGTGAGGCCAACCACCGACTAAGTCACATCACAAAATCTTATGGTAATCGGGATGGACAAAATCTGTCCCAGTTGGTAAGCGGTTTCTCCCAGTAATTCGTCATCCATACCGTCCAGGATTTTGTCCATGCGACCTTGGGTGTGTCTCAAAGAGTTGGACTCTTTTTGGTCGGCAAAAAGGCCACCAGAGGAAATTCATCATGTTACAATCCCATCATTTTGAGAAGCCCCCGGCCCAAAAACCCAAACACGAACACCCGTCGTGTTCCCCATCGGGTTTCCGCGCATACCTCTACCTCGCGAATCCGTGCGCTCGGAAACCCCGCGGAAATCCGCGCTCATCCGCGTGAATCCGTTCGCGAGGTGAAGTACATGGAGCGCATGGCGAAGATTAACTGCGGACTGGAGATGGAGCTCGGGCGCCGGTCTCGGGGAAGTCGACGCATGGGGGAAACCCATGGGTCCGACTGATGGCTGCGAAGTCCAGAAATCGCAGCACTTGGAAACCTTGGTTGAAATCATGATGTTGGTTGGTATTTTTCAGGGGGAATCGAATCATTCCAGGGTTTCTTAGGTGGTGCGAAATGGACTTCGCAACCATCCACAGTATGGGTTCTCATGGGTTTACAAGATTCCTTTCGGGCAAATGGAACAAACATGCAGAAGGGTCCAAGCCTCGGGAAATGCCAATATCTTGTTGGGTTTCAAAAAGACTCCCAAGCTCTTCCAAGGGGTAAAAGAGGGGTCAAGAAGTCCCAACCAAAACTGAAATGCCTTGTTTCTGTCTGGTGTTGTAGGCTAGGTCCCCCAGTAGTGCCCTTTTACACTTTTGTGGGGGAGGGTTCCCCTACTAAAATAGACTACAGAAAAAGGGTCTCCTTATCCTTATTCTAACCTCTTTGCTGGAGGACCTAGTAATAGGGGAACCTTTGCAACAAGCTGTTTGCCTGCAAGCGACCAATGACCGAGGGTTGATTCCCCAGCAATTTCAAGTGTCAACCACCCACCAGTTCCCCTGAGTCTTTGGAGGTGTTTCTGTTGAAAAAAAGAAAACGGCTTCTTGGAAGGAATGAGTAGGTTTCCCCTAGACCCATTTTTAGCACCTCGACCCCTGGACTTCTACCCCCTGGACTCAGAAGGTTCCGCGCGCCTAGGATCACCGGAGGCGAGGAGGACGGGGTCAACAACGAGGACGCCAACCCGGAAGATCTCTACTCCAAGCCCGAGGAGACACCAATCCGTGGTCGATGTGTTTTCCTTCGGTTTTTTGGACCCCTTTTCAGGTGGCTTAAAAGGGAAACTAAAGGGAACACCGAGGTGCCGTTTTATTTTTGTTGGGGGTGTTTGATTCCTAAACGAGGACACACCCATTTGTTCAGGTTTCCTCATAGTTTGTTGGTTTGAAATGGTGGTGGTAGTTAGGGGGTGGAACCAGAGGTTCAAATCCTCAAACCAAACCACCAAATGAGGGCTACCTCATTTTTTTTTGGGGGTACCGTCCAAACCACCCGTTTTGGCTGTGCCCCTATTTTGGCACAAACCCATTTGCACCCAATAATTTTTGTTGTTCAGACATTTTTGAGGGGGTTGCCCTAGGTCAACATGCCAACAAAGAATTTGTTGTTGCCCATGGCCACTAGGGTCTGGGGCCGGGGCTCTGAATGTTCCACACGGTTGCATGGTCAAACTTGGGTTGTGATTGAATAAGGATTATGGGTGCTTAATAGCCATCAATAGCCCACATGTTGTTGATTTAGCCAAGGGGATACCAAAAGCGGATGGGCGTACCTAGGATGTGTTACCAAGGCTTGGTCTTTGACGACTTCCACGTTGGTTGGTCGTTCAATACGGTGCCCGTACAGGGACATCGAAGTGCCGCGGCCCCAAATAGGCGTCTGTGTTTTCTTGAGGCTTGGTGGTTTAAACACCAGCAAATTTAGGGATCCCTCTATTTGACACAAAATGGGAACCCCAGAGAAATAAACCCCTGGTTGATGTTGATTGGTGGCTGTCCCCCTTTGGGGATTCATCACTTTGGAGGGAACACCCCCCCCAATTGGGCCAATTGGGACGGGCTTATATTCGAATGGGTCAACATTACCCATTGGAGTTGTCAAAATTTGGGCTCCAAGTGATCGGTGCGCGTTTGTTGCCTAAACTGTGGCTCTTTGTGGGGCCCCCCAATTTGGAGAGAGACTCATTTGAAGGGAGGGTATCCATCATTTTCCATGTCAACCAGCAGAAGTAAGCCTTCTACAGGTATCAGTCTGGTCGCGCTTAGTTACTGGAAAGGGTCCCAGTGTTCCAGCAACCCTTTTGTTGGATCCCTGGTTTTTGTGGGGGGTAGATGAGCAACCACCCCCGCAAGTTCCAAACCACCGGATGTCAGCAAGGAATGAATTCGAATGACCCCGATTTAAACAATCCATGTCCTATGGTTTTCTTTAAGGGGGCAATAGCTGTTCTAAGGGGATGTATGGTAATAGCTATACTAAGAAGATGTATGGGAATAGCTGTACTTAGGTGATGTATGGCAATGGCTGTACGAAACGGTTCATTCTCGCTGCGCCATTCCCTATCGCAGCAGCCAGGAGATCTGGCAGGTCTACGAGGCTCTCTCCAAGGCCCGATCATTTGAAGCTCGCGGGGTGGTCCGCTTGTCACTAGGAATCTGCACCGAAGGCGAACCAGGGAAGTCGAACATCCCCGCACCAGAAGGCAACAATAGTGATGCCATAGAAAGGTTGGTTTCCTTTTGGTTTCCGTTTGAAACCATCCGCCGCCCAAAAATTTGATCCAAAAGCTCTGGCTTCAAACCAAGGAAGAAGCAGAGCCCTATAAAGTCTCCCTCAAGCTAACCGAGTGAACGATTCCCTCTTGACTCTCAAATGGGCAACTAGGAATGAACCAGGGGTTAATTGATCCTAGGTTCCTTTTAAATGAAGGGACATCTGAACGAATGAAGGGACCTTCTTGATTTCAGGTGCTCGGCAGAGAGGATGTGACTTTGGAAAGCCCCTGTTTGACGCAGCTGTGGCAACGCGCGATGCACCCGCAACCACACCGGGATTCCTTTCATGGAAGGGGCAACAAATCAAACTGCAGTTTTAGGGTGTTTTGGCAGGGACACCTGCCCCTGCAACACAGTAGCGCAGGTCCAATGGGGTACCTGAACTTGACTGCTATTGGGTTGGATCCTTGCACTTATACTTTTGGGAAATCAAGGGGTTTTCCACTAAACCCCCAAGAAGTTCAACTTTTTGCAGGGGGGGTCAACAGCACCCAAGTTAAAATGACATGGGTTTGTCCTCGAATCATAGGGCATCCTCATCGTTGTGGCACTTGCCGGTGCCCGCGGCTGCTTTCTGGCACGCGCTCTAGTTACCGTGGCCCGAGTGTGGGTGAGCTATTCTGCGCGCCGGTTGCTGGCCTCAGGCGCGCAGGCTGCTTCGTCTGGGTGCGTCCCCCCGTATCGCCCTTCTCTCCCCTTTTCTGGGGGAGGGTTCGGGACCCTACCAAAATAGACAAAAGAGGAAAAAAGTTGGTACCCTTGTTCCACCCTCTCTACCGGAGGACCTAGAAACCCTCCATGTCCTATCGTGTCCTATGGTTTCCTTTAAGGGGATCCGTGAAACGGCTCAATTCCCCAAATCCCGGGCTCTCTACCGGCGGGCCTAGCCAAGTCCTTTGGCTGAGACTCAGGTGCCCAATGGCTTCTTCACCATCGCCGCCGCCTTTGGCAACGTGCACGGCCCGGCGGCCGAGAGTGCGAGAGTGCGAGCGGCGGGCGGGCGAGGGCGCGGTTGCGGACGCGGAGAAAGGTGTCCCTTTAAACCATCCCCAAAAAGGGATCCCCCACCCAAACAACAAATACTGGCCTACCCCACTGTTCTCTGGTTGTCCCTAGGTTTTGGTTGGGGCTGGTGGGCGGGGCGGCGAGGGGTGGAGGTTTTCTGTTGGGAAGAACTGGAGGACCGTTTGGAGTTGGTTCTGAGGCTCACTAAGGTTCTATGAACCAGAGTCCAAGCCGAGTTTTGGGGGGCAGCTGGGATAGTTCTCATGCGAAGCGAGGTGAACTCGCAGAGATCTGAGCTGCTCAGTCTGCACTCTTTGTTGAGTTTCTTCATTCAGTGGCTGCTATGAGGTCTAAGCAAATCTTGGCTTTGGGGCGACCTTGAGTTCAGTTCCGGGTTCATGGGAGCTTCCGGCTGCAGGGGGGGGGGGGTGACATCAACCGCTGCCGGACGCAGCCTGTGGGCCATGCGCAGTTCGGGTAGAGGAGCTGGGCTTCATGGGATGGGAGCGGGTCCTCATCTTCGGAAGCTGGGCCTTGAGGTGAATTCCGAGGTGAATTCGACCAGGCGAAGGCTCTCCGGATGGAACCAAGCCCTTGCGCCTGCACCTTGCACCACAAGAAGCCCAAGATGGGAAGGCTTTCTCAGAGTGCGGGATGTTCCGCCAGAGCGTGAACAACGTGAGGATGAATCTCAATGCGAGGAGGCGGAGGCAGTGGCCGAGGAGCAGTTTGGTTCCTGTCGAGGCTCAAGTTTTTCTAAGTCGGGTCAGCGTTAGGGAATGTTAGATTGCGTTCTACCCCTAAAGGAAAACCAAGCAAGTGTGGCCACCCGCTTACATCAGGAGACGTCACGATGATTTTCCATGCTTTCGGTTTCGGAAAGGGAATACAGCAGTCGCTGGGAGTTGGGAAAATGTAAACATGAAAGCTAATGCAAGGTCTTGGGAAGCTGGTTCAAGACCTCCAATGAGATTGCATGGAAGCGTAGGCGGGAGAAGACATTTGACATGTATATGTGTTGATTGTTTTGAGGGTACTCATGCTGGGCTGTTCAAAAGATTGGAGGTTTGCTCATGTTGACACAAACCCCGTGTTTCTTGAGAACCTGGAAATACGCGTGACCTCAAACTGGAAGTGGAATATTAACGTGAAAGTGGATGTGGAAACTTATTCAGCTGTGCCGAAATTCTCCAACGCATGCAATACCTGTTGCTTCCAGCAAGCTATACAAGCCAGAGGGAAACCATGCCTTCCTGTCCACTCAACAAAAGCACGGCGTACAGTAATAGACCAAAAAACATACCCTCAGGAAAACGGGCTCAAACAAAAACAAACTAAAGAGTTCGTTTGGTTTAACACTTAAACACACAACAAGACCAAGTTGGCTGGCTGGCAAACTGCCTTGTTGGTTGGTTGGTTGGTTGGTTGGTTGGTTGGTGGGTGGGTGGGTGGGTGGGTTGGTTGGTTGATTGGTTGGTTTGGTTGAGCTGAAGCACACAGCTCAAGACAGCCCTGCCGATTCTTGCCGCCAGGTGTGTACCAGCCGGGCAATGTGCAGCTGGAGCCCACCATCCTCGACAAGGCGCAGAAGTGGGGAGCCCCAGTCAGCGGTTTTTTTGGATGTCAGTGAGCCCCGGTTATTTAGCCGGCCAAAAGTTCAACGGGGTCGGAGGACAGCCCAGTTTTGCATTTGGGTTTGTCTCAAAATGGTGAAACCTCCAAACTGGTGGTTTTCCCTTAATAATAATAGTAAACAAAAAAAATGCACTATCTCCACCCTAACGGGACAGTAATACGACTGTCCTATTGATAGGGGGTGGCACCCACAAAAGGGACACCCCCTTTGTCATTCAACCAGGGGTTTATTAATCCGGGGTTCCCATGACTGTTTTTGGAAGACTGCGTGGGTTGCCGAAAGTTTAGGTGCGCTCTTTGAGGTATGCCAAGCTGACCCCTAAAGGGACGAATCACACAAGGGGTGGATGTACTAAGGGCCCTTGGAAAATTCAAATTGAGCTGTGGGGTATTTCTAAAAGCCAAATTGAGCGATCTGCCCAGTGAATTCCTTTTGGTTTGCTGCTTTTTTGGGCTACCCACTATATATTTGTTGAACGGACACCAAAGCAACAATGCGAAATTCGTTAAGACAGCGCCAGACCTTGAGGAGTTTAGTGGGTTTCCAGCTGCCATGATATTACAACTACACTTTTTTTTAAACCAGGGCTGGTTACGAGATTGGGTTTCAAAGGCAAACCGTTGATATCCGAGGGCTTGCCCATGCGGCAAGCCCTTGCAACCAGTTTGGTAGATCCCACTTCCTTGCTTCAAAACTTTTGGTTGCCTCAACAAATGCCAGAAGCTACGTTACTTCACTGTTCTTGGCAAGTATTTTGGTGTTTTTGTTCTGTTCATGTTTGGCAGGGCGCTGTAAAACCAAACAAAAACATTGCTTTCTTGCTACCATACCAAGGGTTGTGAAGGTTAATTTCCGCCTTTTTCCGCAGATGGTTGTTGATCATCAGCCAGAAGATTGGTTGCTTTTTGGTTGCCAATCCACTGGGAAAGCGAGAGATTCGGCGGCAGCCACAGCACAAAAAAACCTGAGGTACATTGCCGACAAGATTGGAGCTGAGGAGTGGGGGTGGCACCAGTCGATCCGGAGCATATGCATTTCATCGCCATGAGATACTGATGTATATATGCACTACATATATATATATATGGGCACACACACACACCCCGCCAGAGCCTACCTTTCCTCTCTTCTAGTTGAAGGTGTCAACTCCACTCTGTGTGCCTCGTTCTTGCAGATGCCACACTGTAAAATACAGTGTTCTTGTTGGTGTTTTACCTTCTGTATGACAGCAAAATTATTCTTTGGTTTAAGCTTGAAAGGCGACAAAGCGAAAACGGATTCCGTTTTCGGATTCGAGTCTGGCTTTGTTTGAAAACACCGGTTTTTACAGTGGTTTTCAGTACACCAGGGAACTAACATTGAGCAAATGACGCTTTTTTCAGCTTTGAGCTCTGCAACCTGCACAGACCAAAAAGCAGAAACCAAAAAGCAGAGAATCTCCTGAAAGCGAAAGCTCTAAGACCTGCACGTGCCAAAAAGCATCTCCAGACCAATTCTGGGAGTCTGGGCATGTTTGCCCATGATTAGTTTAGCCACATTAAACCTAAATCAGATTTGGGAATGAGTTACTATTAAAATTTGTTTGCAAGCGCCAACTGATGTCTTTCCAGCTTAAGCTCTATTCCAATTTAAGTCATATTTGGGAAGGGGCTCCCCATTAAAACTCGTATGTTCAAAAGCCAATTGAATTGTGTCGCATTAATACAGTATATTTAATCCTACTGAAATGTGTTAGTTCCTTTATTTCAAGCTCTGGTTAAATGTACAAATTATGGTGCATTATGAATTGTGGGGAACTGTGTCCTTAAACTTCTGTTCACCATTCTGGAGGCCTCCCGGCTCCAAATTGTGAGGCTTGGAGAACCCAACATTAAACATTTCGAGGATTCTCATCTCCAGATTCTAGGCTTCAGATGTTTCAAAATGGACATTTCAAGGGATCAGAGGTCCAACAAACTGCTGCAAAACAGAGTGGTTTGCACAAATTGCTGAGATTGTGTTCCCTTGGACCGAGGATTGTTTTTCCCAAACAACACTTTTCCCGAAACAACAGTATCCAGTTGCTACGCATTATGCCTACATAAGGTTTATAACTTTTATAAACCTTCTTGAGTGGCTTCACCAATTTCAGACTTTTCTACTGCCGGTGTACAATTGCAAAGCGGTAGATTCTGAGCTGATGGACGAAGATGTCGCATTTTTGGACTCAGTGCTGGATCAACGCGAACGTGCCCTTCGAAACTTTTGGCATGTGGTGGCCGGGCCACCCAGGCCTCTCATGACAAAGCAAGCACAGCTGGGAGGGTGCTGCGGACCTTTTTGTCTGAACTCGACTTGATGCGGTGTGTGACTTCGCCTGAGTTGCCAAAGCTGGAGATCGCGAGCAAACTGGCACAGCTTGTGTTTTTGAAACACTCCGCGAAGGCGCCCCATTTCTCAGCGGAGAAAAGTGGTTGCCTTTTTGCATGTGTTTGGTTCAGGAATGTGTCAATCCACAATATTGTCGAGCATCCACACATTTGTTTCAAGGGTAACCTGGGTTAAGATGCTTTGAAAAGAAACCAAGACAATGATAACAAGACTAGAGACGGCAGACATATATCTCCTTAAACAAGGTTGTCTTCTGCAACAAGCACGGATGCATCTCTATCACAACAAACAAACCCACAAAAAATCGGATGCATCCCTCAACACACAACCCAAAACTCATTTTTACCCCCAAACTTCATGGTTGGTTTGTGCGACCGTAACGTCATTTGGAACCCCTAGATCCACCGAACAAGCTCCGGAAATCCGCCCACCCCCCCACCTCACCCCCACCTCACCCCCCCACCTCACCCCCCCACTTCACCCCCCCACCTCACCCCCCCACCTCACCCCCCCCCAACCGCCACACCCCCGTTTGTGCGCAACCATCGAATCAGCAGCTGCAAAAGGAGGGCTCCAAGCCGGTGAGCTTCGTCTTCCACGGCGGCTCCGGCAGCGACCTCAACGACATCCGCGAGGCGGGGCTCCGCTCCAGTCCCCCTCCGGAGGGTCGATCGACGCGGGTCACTGGGTGGCTTCGTCTGTTTCAATGGGGGAACACACACACACACACACACACGCCACCTAAAAACACGGGTCTGTCTGTCAAGCAACGGGGAACAAGGAAGTCCCTCTAAGACATTTAGGATCTGTTTTGCAACCTTTTTGTCAAGGGTATTCGTTTCGGGGTTGAGTCTGCACAGTATCCTCGAAGTGTCCATGGTCTATTCCATTAAGCTTCCCTTTACACCAACCGTTCAGTTTGGCACTTGCGTGCATGAAAGGAGTCCCAGGAGGATGTTGATGTTGCGGGTTCAGCGTCCAAACTGTTGCACTAGTTGATGCGAGAACCCTACCTGGATAAATGACGCAGTTCTGCGCGTGACTCGACCGGCGTTGGATTCCCGACAAGATCTCTGCCGAATATGAAAACTTGGTGCCCAGATGCTCGAGGGGGTGTGCAATGCACACCCCGGCCCTGTGCATAGCACACCCCGTGGCTTGCATGCCAAACTGTGGGGTGTCAGGGGTCTTCGCTATTTTTTTTGGGGTGTCACCAGGACACCCCGAAGGCTGAAGTCTATGTTGATTCTGTCTAACGCGTCACAGGCCCTGCAGCTACTTGCATGCAGCACGGCCAGTTCGTCGAATCTGCTGAACATCAGGTTTTCACGGTTTTCATGGGCTGACTGCTGAGGACAACCCTGCATCATTGACGTGTCAATGTTGAGGCTTGATCAAGGAGCTGGTTTGCTTTTTGATGGTTGTGTTTCTCACCCTTTGCTGGCTGCAATTGAATGGTTTGCCAAACTCTCCTAAATCCGTAAATCCTGGGGCAGTTGCTAGACAAACGCAGTGCGAAGCAGCTCAGCGGCGCTATGAAGCACAACCAGACCAAGCCGCAGAAGCGGACATACGGCCGAGGTGATGGCCCGTAGGTTGATAATGCTTCAGTAGCTGCTAGGTGCAATCACTGTGCAGGGCAGGTTCGACAGAGCAGGCTCAGCAAGCCCCAGCCGATCTGGCTCTAAGACTAGTCTCCACTTGGGCTTTCCAGCTCGCCTTTCCGAAGGGTTGTGGAGGCCTTCGACCTTCATGGGCAACGCTCTCTTATGAAAACATTGCGAAACATCAAACACCACCTGCTTTTGCTTCCTGTTGCAGGGGTGCATCATCACGGGCCGAAAACAGGATGCTCGCACCTGGTAAGAGTCCAAGAGAGGCCACAGCAAAGCCGAGGCGCCCACACATTTCAATCTGAAGCGGTTCAATCACAAAGTAGGAGCTGCAGTGGCACTTGTAGCCTTTTCAGTCCAATCCAACTTGACCCCCCACCGTTGCACGCAATCTGGTTGCAGAATGTCTACCTGCAGGGGCGCGCACGTGAAAAACAAGGCGTGAAGCGGAATAGAGTGTTGGCGGCGTTTCTGAACCAGAACCCTCTCCAGCATTTACCACCAAAAACATGTTGAACTGTCAGACGCACAGCTCTTTGCATGTGAGCTGGGGGCTTGGACAAGTGGTCGCAAGCGCGATGTTTTGACTCTACTGCGTGTTGCTGCCCCATTGTTTTGAAGCGTTCAGCAGGTTTCCGTCTACCAACGCCCGTGTTAGTCAAATCATGTACGGGTTGGAGATTCTGTTTCTGCAAAGCTCTACAAAGGGCGACATCCTATGGCAACACGTCAAACATCATAGTCCCAAAGTCTCAAGTCAAACAGATCCTACCAAAGTTTTTTCATAAACTGCACTGGAGCTTCAAGTGCCCCACTAGGATCCAGCGGGTTGTAACGGGCTCGGGAACTCCAGCACCAGAATCCGACAGAATCCGACGGAATCCGACGGAATCCGACGCTCGGGGCGTCAAATCTCCTAGTTTCGACACCCCCTGACCCGAATCCGACGGAATCCGACGGAATCGCTTGGGGCGTCGATGCTCTTTTAGTTTCGACACCCCCTCCACCCCCAATCCGACGAAATCTGACGGGATCCGACGCCCCAAGCAATTCCGTCGGATTCCGTCGGATTGGGGTCAGGGGGTGTCGAAACTAGGAGATTTGACGCCCCGACCGTCGGATTCCGTCGGATTCCGTCGGATTCCGTCGGATTCTCTCGGATTCTGGTGTGGGGGGTCCCGAGCCCGCGCGTCACAACCCGCTGGATCCTATTGGGGCACTTGAAGCTCCAGTGCAGTTTATGAAAAAACTTTGGTAGGATCTTTTTGGTTTGAGACTTTGGGACTATGATGTTTGACGTGTTGCCATAGGATGTCGCCCTTTGTAGGGCTTTGCAGAAACAGAATCTCCAACCCGTACATGATTTGACTAACACGGGCGTTGGTAGACGGAAACCTGCTGAACGCTTCAAAACAATGGGGCAGCAACACGCAGTAGAGTCAAAACATCGCGCTTGCGACCGCTTGTCCAAGCCCCCAGCTCACATGCAAAGAGCTGTGCGTCTGACAGTTCAACATGTTTTTGGTGGTAAATGCTGGAGAGGGTTCTAGTTCAGAAACGCCGCCAACACTCTATTCCGCTTCACGCCTTGTCTTCACGTGCGCGCGCCTGCAGGTAGGAATTCTGCAACCAGATTGTGTGCAACGGTGGGGGGTCAAGTTGGATTGGACTGAAAGGCTACAAGTGCCACTGGCGGCTCCTACTTTGTGATTGAACCGCTTCAGATTGAAATGTGTGGGCGCCTCGGCTTTGCTGTGGCCTCTCTTGGACTCTTACCAGGTGTAAGCATCCTGTTTTCGGCCCGTGATGATGCACCCCTGCAACAGGAAGCAAAAGCAGGTGGTGTTTGATGTTTCGCAATGTTTTCATAAGAGAGCGTTGCCCATGAAGGTCGAAGGCCTCCACAACCCTTCGGAAAGGCGAGCTGGAAAGCCCAAGTGGAGACTAGTCTTAGAGCCAGATCGGCTGGGGCTTGCTGAGCCTGCTCTGTCATTGTGCGCGCAGCAGGGCAGTGGGTTGAACTGGCGTCATCAGTACTCAAGGAAAGGTCCGGCTGGGTTGCGTCCAGCAGCTTGTGAGGCATTAGCAACCTATGTGGCCGTCAGGTTGGCTGACAAAAGCGCAGTAATTGCCACCTCCAGGTTTCTTGCCCGTATGGCTGCTTCGCACAGCTTTTGTCGGTTCGCAGTTGCCTTCTAACAAAGTTTGGGTTGTAGGGGAGCGGGGAAAACATTTCTGAGTTTGGAATTCCACGGCAAGCAAATACACAAGCGCATGTGGAAACGCGAACCATCAAAAACCGGCCCAGCTCCCTGATCAAGCCTGACATTGACATGTCAATGATGCAGGGTTGTCCTCAGCAGCTAGCCCATGGAAATCTGATGCAGCAGATAGCCCTGACCAGTGGCGCCTTGATCCATAGTGCGCAGCTGGGCCCACGACGCATTAGACGACTAGCCTTCGAAACGTCCTGGTGACATTCCTTCAGAATCCTTAAAGACCCCTGCCGCAATTTTGCAGGCTAGCGATGGGGTGCTGTTTGCGCACTGCAAACCCCTCGTGCAAACTGGGAAGTGAGTGAACTCAGAAACGGCGCCCCGATCATTCACTTGACGCCCCGCAACGCCCCGCGACACCCCGACGCCCCAAAATCAAATCGTGAGCGTCTGGGTGGGTGCCTTGGACAAGGTGAAAAGCATCTTCGGTCACAGCAAGTTTGTGTTCCTGACTTGATTCTACATAGACGAAGTGGAGATACTTCAGTCGATCAAGATCGCCGCGAAGATGTCATGCAAGCTGGACGGTCTCATGGCAGACTTGGATGCTATAACTTGGCTGCAGCCTCACGATCTTTGGCAGCGTCAAGTGCTCTCACGATTTCTTTCATTTTGTCTTGTAGTTGCTTTACTAGGTCCCCAGTAGTGCCCTTCTCTCCCCTTTTTTTGGTTGGGAGGGTTCCCCTACTTGAAAAAAAAGCAAAAATAAAGGTACCAACTTCTTGTAACCTCTCTACTGGTTTGGACCTAGTTTAGTTACTGTTTTTGGGGGCATGTACTTTTATCATAGCAGTTTGTAGTACGCCAATACCCAACGCGGTATTTTGGCTCAAGTTTTCCCTCTGGCAAACCCACACTTGCCATACTCGTCACGGCGCCTTTCAACGGCGCGGCGCCCATCATCGCGCAAAAGGTGCGCGTTGCCGGGAGGCCGCGGTTGGGGCTTGGTCGTGGAGGTGGGTCAGGACACGGGTTTGGGAGGGTGCTGCATTTGGTTTGCTTTGCTCGCTCGCTGCGCTGCATTGTTTGCCTGCCTGGTTTGCTGCTTTGTGCTTGCTTTCGGTTGTCTCTGCCCTTGCTGGGTTCATTCATCTTTTGGTTAAAGGCACCCTGTTTTGGTTCGTTTGTTGTGCCAGCCGGGGGCACCGCTTTGCCCTTGGGACTGGGGGACTTAAACAATCTCTTCTTGTTGGTGGGATTGGGCCTGTTTATTCTCTCCCGAAATACTGTTTCAAACCCTTTCGCAGGTTATCAGCCGTAGGATTCGTCCTCGGTTGGCACCGCGAACCCCTTTTAATAATAACCCTGCAGGTACCGTAGGTCTCTGTAGGCGTCATGTCGGGAATCACTGAGGACGGACCTCATGTGGTGACCGACGAATGGGTTCTCGGCCAGGCCGGAATCTTGGACGTTGTGAATGACGACCAAGTGCCCGGACAGCCGATGTTTTCCGGTCCTGACTTTTTGTCGGACCACTCTTTTTCAGAAGCAATGCCTTCAGGAAGATCCAGTGCTACTCGCACTGATGACCTATCGTCTAATGCCTCAAGAGCTAATCGCTCTCAGGGTCATGGGGCTAATCGTCCTGACCATGATGATTCCGTCTCAGGACGTGATGATGACGAGCCCGGTATTGCACCTGGAGCTCAATCCTCATCTTTCCCGGAGCTGATGAATATTGGTCAGTCCGAGTTTC